GGAAGAAGCACCTGGCTCCTGGCTTTGGATCGGTGTGGCACCAGCCATAGTGGCCATTTGGGGGGTGAACCAACGGAAGGAAGACCTTTCTCTCTGTCTCTCTTTCTATAACTCTGCCTGTCAAACAAAAAAACATGAGTGCACATGGTTCAGATGGGGTGGAGAATGCAAACAAATGGAGATAAAATACAAGAGAAGGGTATTACATGGACCCGCAGCAATAAAGTGCTTTGACCTGAAGAACACACTCAACTCTAAGTCTCCGGTCTGGCTAAAGGAGAGAAACGAAAGGAGGGTAGACAAAAAGAGTTTTCCCTTGCAAAGAACTAGGCAGCTCTCTAGTGATTTAAGACTACAATTTTGCTCCAATTCACTGTCCCTCAATTTGCTGCCTTAGAGCTAAATGAGGAGTGCCTTTTCACAATACTCTTGACTGTCTTTTAAGGAAAGCTTGTTCTTTAAACTATATAGCAAGTCATAGCCAAGGCGAGATTTTTTAAAGGTAAACCATTAGAATTAGCATTCTGGTGGTCCCATTAAAACTTTTCTTCAAAACAATTCCTAACTTTTAATTGCATAATAATATATATGTAATTCTAGACATTAATAACTTTATGAGTGCCATATAATTATCTCTTCCATACACAACGCTAAGTTGTACTTTTATGATACTCAAATATGAGAGAGCATATTTTTACAGATAATCTTAAAAACTTTTAGCTGGGAAGTGCTCATTTGCGTAAGTATCAAATGTCTACAAGAACATAAAAATCAAATCAGTACTTAAAATCTCCAGTGGGTCAGGCACTTAGCCTAGTAGTTAGGACGCCAATTAAGATGTCTATGTCTACGTCTACATCTACATCCTGGGGCCAGTGTTGTGGCCACCACCTGCAGTGCCGGCATCCCATATGGGCGCTGGTTCGTGTCCTGGCTGCTCCACTTCTGATCCAGCTCTCTGCTACGGCCTGGGAAAGCAGAAGATGGCCCCAATCCTTGACTCCTACACCCCATGGGAGAAACAGAAGGAACTCTTGGCTCCTGACCAGCTCAGTTCCACCACTGCAGCCAATTGGGGAGTGAACCAGCAGATGGAAGACTTTCTCTCTCTCTCTCTCTCTCTCTCTCTAACTCTTTCAAATAAGTAAATAAATCTAAAAAAAAATATATGTCTGTGTCCCACTCTGGAGTACCCAGGTTTGGTTTCCAGCTCCAGCTCCTGACTTCCTGCTAATGCTTACCCTGGAGAGAATGATAGGTAATGGCCCACATAACTGGAGACCACCACCCATATGGGACCCCAGCTTTGCTTCCCAGCCCATTGTGAGTATCTGGGGAGAACACCAGTGAACAGGCACTCGTTCTATCTGCCTCTTAAGCAAAAATTTCCAGGTTTTTGTTTCTCTCAAATTAAAAGCATTACAAAGTAGAATTAAAATTAGATATTCCCACAGTTCTCTACCAAGAGTAGGATTTTTTGAGAAATAAATTTAATAACCAATTCAGAGTTTTAGTTAACAGGTTATTATGCAATTCAAGATTTTAAAATCTGGGTCAGCAAAGTCATTTCTGTTTTGTTCAAATAAAAGCTACTACCTTTACTCAGGCAGTTATGCAGTAATTTTGCTACAATTAGTGGTAATATATCTTCCCAAATGTTTTTTTTAGATTCAAGATAACTTTACTTGTAAATAAATAATTTAAATTTATATGGTGTGGCTTTTACCTAGGACTATTAGCTGTAAAACGAAGCCTTATTGAGTGTCAATTGTTAAATTAACAGCAGGAGTCACTGTGCACTTGCTCCCCATGTAGGACCCTCTGTCCTTAATGCGTTGTACTAAGAGAATTAATGGTAAAACTAGTCTTGTTATACTTTATACTTTGTGTGTTTTAGTGGCTGTAAACTGTTGAAATCTTTACTTAATATATAGTTGATCTTCTGTATATAAAGATAACTAAAAATGAATCTTAATGAAGAATGGGATGGGAGAGGGAGTAGGAGGTGAGATGGTTTGGGGGTGGGAGGGCAGGTTTGGGGGGAAGAACTGCTATAATCCAAAAGTGGTACCTATGAAATTTATATTTATTAAATAGAAGTTTTTTATTAATTCACTTATTTTTTAGTGCCTTCAGTTTCCACTCTTTTTGTACAGACATAAAACCATACCATACGCAACTTTAAAGTGAGAACAGGAGGTTAGCAAAAATGATTACTTTTTTTTATTCCTATTATTTTTAAAAATATTTATTTTGTTTGAAAGACAGAGTTACAGAGAGAGGTAGAGACAGAGATAGGTCTTCCATCTGCTGGTTCCTCAGATGGCCACAATGGCCGGAGCTGCGCCAATCCAAAGCCAGGAGGTAGGAGCTTCTTCTGGGTCTCCCACGCAGGTGCAGGGGTCCAAGGACTTGGGCCATCTTCCATTGCTTTCCTAGGCCATAGCAGAGAGCTGGATTGGAAGTGGAGCAGCCGGGATTAGAACCAGCAGCCTTTAGTCCCCCCCGCCCCCACTGCTTTTAATTGGAAGCATCTTTTGCACCCAATAATATCTAGAACATGCGAACAGGGCCAGCGCCATGGCTCATTAGGTTAATCCTCCGCCTGCAGCGCCGGCATCCCATATGGGCACCGGTTCTAGTCCCAGTTGCTCCTCTTCCAGTCCAGCTCTCTGCTGTGGCCCAGGAAGGCAGTGGAGGATGGCCCAAGTGCTTGGGCACATGCACTCCACATTGGAGACCAGGAGGAAGCACCTGGCTCCTGGCTTCGGATCGGTGAAGTGCCGGCCATAGTGGCCATTTGTGGGGGTGAACCAACAGAAGGAAGACCTTTCTCTCTGTCTCTTTCAAATAAAAGAAAAAAACATGCAAACAGGCAATTCTTTCACTGTGGACAAAGGCTTGTTTGCCAAGTCATGAATGGTTAACAGTCTACAGCTATCTTACTAAGTCTTTGTGCTTTAACTACAAATAATATTCTTAAAATTATTTGTTTAGGGAGTGGTCAGTGTGGCACCGTGGGTCAAGCTGCTGCTGGGACGCCCACATCTGAGATGGGGGTGCTTGTGATCAAGTTCTGCCTCCACTCCCAATCCAGCTTCCCACTAATGGGCACTCCACTCCGGGAGGCAGCAGATGGCTCAAGTCCTTGGGCCCCTACCACTTGTGTGGTTGACCCCAGTGGAGTTCCTGGCTCTCGCCTGGCTCAACCCCAGCTGTTGTGAGTATCTGGGGAGTCAAGGAGCAGATGGAAGCCTCCCACTGTCACTCTGCCTTTCAAATGTTAAAAACAAATCATTTAACATTGCTTATGTACCATAAAGAAAACTGTGCTAGCTCTCTCCAGTCTTCACTACACAGGAAGATCAGAACAGATTTCTAACATCATAATCTGATCGTTTCTAGCCTTTCATCAAAAACAGCTGCATCTTGAGTCTCCAACTTGCTCTCTGAAGCAACTTCTTTACCTAACAGTTTAGAAGTCTAGACTGTTAATTTTTAATTAGTCTTTAATTTCTAAGAAAATATCCCTAAAGATAGATCATCTTGTTCAACCACATTTTCAGAGAGGATAAAAGTAAAAATATGAATCCAATTTTTTGGCACTAAATCAAACTCGCAAAGCCACACGTATTTTAATTAGTGTATTAACAACAAGTAGAAATATCGGTGAAATCAAAAACAGAGGGAAAATTAGTTCACCTGATTCTACAGGAGACAATACAGTTAATTAAATGCGCGGAACTGAAAGTCAGGTTATCGGAAAATTTCCTAAAAATCTGACCTAAGTTTCTTAAGCAAGCGTTTTACCACGATTATCTATTAAACGAGGTGGTCATCCGGCGATGGCACTCAGCGCCCGGTGCTGTGTCGTAAATATTCTACACAAACCGGCCGAACCGTCACACACAGAGCAGCGCCCCGCAAGTGAAGCCCAACGCGTCACACACTTCTCTAACTGCGGTTTGTCCAAGCAGAAACCACCATTTCCATACATTTGATTTACCCCAACCTACCAAAAACGTTATTTCAACACGCGGTTAACACAAAAATCATCCACTTAACGGTTTTCCTCACACCGAGCCTTCAAAAATTTGCAGCTCATCTCCGCGGGACACATAGCCGTGTCCCGCGCGGCCCACCCTGGCTTGTCTTCTACTAACCCCGCTCACCTCTCAGCCCCTCACCCACTCTAGAAAGTCTCCCCCTTCCCCTTTTTGTCATTTTCCCCTTCTAGAACATTCTAGAATACTATTCGACAACAAGACCCCGAGAGGGCCGACGCCCGCTGGAGGGCCCGCGGGTCCCTGTGCTCGGCGGGTCCCTGTGCTCGGCGGGTCCCTGTGCTCGGCGGCTCCGGGCGGAGGCCGGCCACGTGCCTGGAATTTGGCGGCTGCTGGCCTCGGGTCGGAGCGTCCAGGCTCCCCCCGGGCCGTCGGGCCGCCTTGTGACATCACATTGTCACACCTTTGAGGGGGTTCAAGCCCAGGGAGGCTCGGAGCTTCAGGCCCCCCGAGAGTCAAAGATTTTCAAGGCGAGAAGCGAGGACTGGAAGAAGCCACGACGAGGTGCCCTCCATCTGGCCCACAACCTGTTGCTTCTGGTCGCGTCCTCCCGCCACGCCACGACAGCCGGCGAGGCCCGCGGAGGTTCCAAAGCACCTGCGCTATGGACGCTCTCAACGTTTCCCAGGAGCACCAGCGGGGTCTTCCGGGTGGACTCCTGTGCCTGTGCTGATTGGCTGGAGCGTGCCGGCACGTGATGCAGACGCGGGGCGGCCACTCCTTGCCCCGCCCCGCGTCCCCTACCGCACGCGGCCAGATGCGGAGGGCGGGTTTCCTAGGCAACCGCGGCGAGCCGTGCGTACGCGGCGGGCCGGGGCCGGAGAGGGGTCGCGTCCGCTGCAAGACAGGGCCTGGGAGGGCAGAGCGGACTGTGCCCTGTCTTGGATCACCCCGGAACTCATCCTCCCTCTGGAAGAAGGTGAGTGTGAGGAGCCTGGTGGCGCTCAGACGAAAGTCACCTGTAGGCGGGGCCACAGGGCCATTGCTCCCAGCTCCTCCCTCCGGGAGGAGGGCACCAGGAGGAAAATGCAAGGGCAGCATCGTTAAGTCCAGGGAACTCCGTCACGGTGCCGCGGAGATGAGGAGAAGAACGAGAGGCGATGACTGGGCTTCGTTGAGGCCTCAGGCGACCGGAGCAAAACTCTGACCCGCAGGCACCTCTGGAGCCATCACAGCCAGCCGTTAAGACGCTGGGCTGGGAGAACCAAGCGCGCTGTCCAGACCTGATGCGGTGGGAAGGACGTTTGGACTGTCAGTGGCGACTGATAGATTCCGAGCAAGCGGCCTGCCTATACCAGCCCCCCACCCCCACCATGGCAGTCACACCTGTGGACCCGTCTACTCTCATTGTTGTATTCTGAGTGGTCACGTCGGGCAGATAGTTAGGCCATATGGGAATCTTGCCGTGATGAATTCAAGCCATTCAGCAAGTTTAGGAACCGCCTGGAATGTGCCAGGCACTGTGACAGGTTAATAGTTCCTGCCCTCAATTGAGCATGATGCCTGGTAGGGAGGAGAGACTGGCAAGTATCACAATACAGTGTGCAGGTGAAGAGAATGCCTATCGCACTACCGGGAAGAACTAGAGTCTTCACACAGAAGAACCTTGGTCTTTGAGGATGTATGGAGCGTGCCAGCTAGTCCAGGGACAAGGACGTTCTAGGGAAGACAAGCAGAATAAGGGAAGGTACAGAAACATCGAGGCCACTTCAGAGACTGCGGCTGTGCCAGAGCCGGGGTGCTCTGAAGAGGGGGTGTTGATTAGGAGCTGAAGAAGCAGGCGGCAGGCAGCCTGGTGACGGGAATGCCTTCCACGCGGGGCAGCGTTGGCAGATGGCCCTCTCAGGAAGACGGCTGGCAGGGCAGTGTGGAGGGTGGATGGAGGGAAGCCAGACAACAGCCACGGCGTCCAGTTAAGGGCACGTGGTGAGGGCCTGAAGTAAGGCACAGGGAAGAGGAATGGAGAAGTTGAAAAGATATATATGTGATAGACATTTAAGAGGTATGAGCAGAGAGATTTAATGAGTGGGTGAACCTGGATAAAGAGAGAGTAAAAATTGAGGGTGTCTTGGAGTCTGACTCAGGTAGTCCTTTATCAAGGAAAGCCTCCGTTAGGACGAACAGCCTTCAGTTCAGTTGGGAAATCTGAGATGCCAGCGGGAGCTCTCCATGCGGGCAGTTGGATTTGCTGCTCATCAAAGGGGGAAGAAAAAGAAGGGTAAATTTTTACCCAGGAGGAAACAACCGGGTTGAAAAGCGGATTTGAGATAACAAGAGAGGATAAGGAAAGAAAGTGAAGCCAGAGAAAAAAGTTAGAGGGGGAGAGGCATCTGCATTGCCCCACGCCACGTCAGGGTGGGCAGCTGAAACATGTCTGATGTCTCTGGCCTTCAGGGGGGTTTGTTGACCTTATTAAAAAAAAAAAAAAAAAAGCTACAGGGACTTGGGTGGCCTCAGTCAGATGGCAGAGGGTTGTGGACTGAGTGGAGGTGAGGAGGAAGTGTTGCTGACGACTGTCAAGGAGCGTTTCTGGGAAGGTCTGTAAGAACAGCGACGTGCAGAAGCAAGCAGGATAGGAGGCCCTTTTCTGAGGCAGGAAAGCCCTGGCGCTCATGTGCAGAGGGAGAGGAGAGCCCAGAGAAGGAAAGGTGGGGTAAGTGAGCGAGAGCAAAACTTGTTAGAGTGGTTTTCTGAAAGACACGGGAAGAACAGGATCAGTACACGGGAAGAAAGGTGTGTTTTGTACCGTGGAAGAATAGTGAGAAGGGGTGGAGAGGAGTGAGAAGAGATAGAAGTGTGTCTTTGGTGGGGGAGAGAAGGGAGGGACGTCCATCTCATTGCATCAGTGTTTTCTGTGAAGGCGGAGACAAGATTGTCTCTTGAGAGAAAGACCTTGAGAGCAGTAGGGAAAGTTCAGAGAAGCCATTTTGTCAAGTGTCCCAGATCTGTGTCTCTCATCCTGCTCTCCAAAAAAGGAAGTTGGTGAGGAGTATACAAAACATTGATGAAGATCCGGCTGACATTAGAATCCATCCGTTCACAGTGACTTCAGCGCCCTACTGCTTATACAAAAATTTCCAGCAGCAGTCCAAGACGGAGAAGAGGTGATTAGCTCAGTCCAGGATGTGTGCTTTGAAGGGTGACAGCTACAGAAACTCCTAGTAGCTCCTGTTTCCCTGGGGCAGCTAGAACAACCCAAGGCCCCCTAGCGGAGCAGAGTCTGCAAGGCACTTTCGCAGAGTACAGGAGTGAGTGTATGAGCTGGCCAGCAGGGCAGGTGCCTCTGGAGGGAATCGGAAGCTTGATCTTGGAGGCTGGAGTCCTTTGTAACTGGAGAAAGAGTAGGAGGTTTGTCAGTACCGGCGAAGTCCAGGCTCCTTGTAATTCAGATGTATGAACACAAAGTGTAGGGTTTGGGTTTTTGATCATTAACTATTGAATTCTAACAAGATTTTTTTCTAAATAAGGGGATTGATGAGGAGAATATAAGTAAAAGATAAACTTGATATCCTAAATACTCATCCTGCTCTACCAAGAAAAAGTAGCATCCTTGATTGAGTGGACAGCTCTGCCTTTGTCCTGCAGTGGCCTCAGTGCTGTGAAGATAAAAGTTTTCTCTCAATTAATCTTCATAATGCAATCTCAACCCAAACCCTAACTCAGCGTTCTAAAACAAAATACAAAATAACCATAAATCTTATTGGGAAAAATAAATATGAAAGAATAGCCAGGAAAATTCCCCCAGAAATACTCTGGGGGCATTTACAATACAACTCATAGTAATTAAAATAGGCTGACGCAGATACAAGAATAGATAGAGCTAAGGGGAGCAGATTAGAAAGTCAAAAAAGAGGCACAAGTGCATGTGATCAAGCAATACATAGCAAAAGCAAGAGTTTATTCCTTCTGCAATAGATATCTTGGACATAGATATCTTGGATCACCATTTGGTAACCTTGGAGGTACAAGGGCAACCTTTGCCCCTTGCATGGTGGTGGGTAGCCGGGTTTTCTTGTGGTGCGCACTGACATCAAACCAAGATGTAGGGGCTTCTCTTTGCATGAGTGGAGAGGCTACAAGACCTCTTTTATTTGGTATAGCATCTGAGTAAACCTAAGAAGGGAAGGCTGTGGCCTGCATCGACAAGTATACTCTAAAAATTTTTGGAAATTAGAATTAAAAGCTAACATTATTTCAGTACAAAATAACACTTGAGGTCCATACTTGTGTTTTTCATAGTGTACATTTCCATGAATTTTATGAAGACTGCTTATATACATGGATTTAACTTTTTTTGCACCAAAATAATATTATCTTTTAGGGGCCGGTGCCGTGGCTCACTTGGTTAATCCTCCGTCTGAGGCACTGGCATCCCATATGGGTGCCAGGTTCTAGTCCCAGCTGTTCCTCTTCCAGTCCAGCTCTCTGCTGTGGCCCTGGAGGGCAGTGGAGGATGGCCCAAGTGCTTGGGCCCTGCACCCCATGGGAGACCAGGAGAAGCACCTGGCTCCTGGCTTCGGATCAGCACAGCGCCAGCCACAGCGGCCATTTCGGGGGGTGAACCAATGGAAGGAAGACTTTTCTCTCTGTCTCTTTCTCACTGTCTATAACTCTACCTGGCAAATAAATTCTTAAAAATATATTATCTTTCAATTCCTTTGTCCATGAACTTTGAGGTACCTCCTGTGTGCGGACTTTTGATGGCGTCCCCGTTATTGCAGGTTGCTCCCTTGCCTGCTGCACTGCTGCTGCCTCTGCTGTCCTCTCTCTGAGTCTCCCGAGGATGGAGCAGAGATGGACTTGCCGTAGGGAGGCAGAGAAGGACGAGTAGCCCTTCCTTCGGCACAGGCCCGTCATCTTAACCGCTTTGACCGCCTGCGCTGCTGCTGCCCTGCGCCATCATGCCCCTCCGCCAGTTTCCTTGCTTGTGCGCTGGACCCTACAGTCTGGTTTCAGTAGGGCAGCTAAAGTGGTCCTTTCTCAGTACTTAACACAGCTCCTGGTGTTCTTTCACTCAAATCCTCATGCAGCTTTCCCTCTCGCTCACCGAAATCCAGACTCCGCACAGGAGCCTACAAGAGAGCCTGTGATTTGTCCCCGGGACTCTCTGACCTCCTACCCTCCCGTGTCTGTTTCCCCTGATGCGCTCCATTCACACAGTTCCCTTACTGTTCTCTAAACAGTGTGCCAAACACACTTGCACCTCGTGGTTTTGCCTTTGGTGTTCTTTTCCACTGGGGTTACACTTCCCCAGATTCCCTCAACGGCTCACACTCTCTCATTGCCTTCATTCTTTGCCCAAATTCTACTGTGTCAGAGAGGCCTTCTCTTTCTCCCCACTGCTCTCGTTCTCTGGCTGGTACGTATGAGGCCTCCATACGTACAGCAATGAACGTGGGTGAATGAGCAGAGCCCAGTGTATTAAGATCATTGCCCGGCTGTGTTTGTCTTTGTGGTGTTAGCTGGGTTCCTCCCCTCCTGCTGACTGTGTTAGTCTGCTTTGTGCCGCAGTGACAGAACATGAGCCTGGGAATTTTAGAAACACTAGAAATTTAGTTCTAACAGTTCTGGAGGCTGGAGAAGTCCAAGATAAAGATCCTGGAATCTGTTGTCTGGTGAGGGTTGTCACATGGTGGAAGGTAAAAGGGTAAAGGTGGGATAAATTCCCCCATCAAGCCCTCTGCTGAGCCCTGATTGTGGTGGGGTCATGTGCCCATTTACGAAACGTCGCACAGATACAGACGTGTGCGGTACTCTGCTGCAGATCCCAGAGAACTTCCATTTGATTCCTTATGGATGGCCCATGGCCACCCTTTCCCCAACATCTGCTGCCCCGACTTTGAGGATTGTTGTGAGTTTTTCTCTGGTATCTTGAACTTTTATCTAGTTTGTACTGATGGGCTGTTCTCACAATCTGATACCATCAGTGTCATTTTTAAAATTAATTGTTCATTTTTATTTATTTGAAACACACACACACAGAGCGAGAAAGAGAGAGTGCGCTTCTACCCACTGGTTCCACTCCCTAAATGTCCACAACAGTTGGGTCTGAGCCAGACCAAAGTCAGGTGCACCCATGTAGGTGGCAGGGACCCCAATAAATGAGCCATCATCTGTTGCCTCCCAGAGTGAACTTTAGCAAATTCAGACACAGAGGTGCAACTGTGTCCCAGGCACCCCGAAATGAGATGCGGGCATCGCAAGAGCCTATTCCATCTACACTACAATGTCCATCCTCATCAGTGTCATTTTAAAAAGACCTGTCTGGATATTTCTTGCAGTCTGTGCTCTTATTCTAGTATCTCTACACATTTCTTATTTTCATAAATTTTTTTATCATTCCAGTGGAATGTGACCAAAGTCAGCATCTTTTTCTCTTATTGGGGGCCGGCACTGTGGCATAGGGAGTAAAGCCTCTTGAGACACTGGCATCCCATATGGGCAATGGTTTGTGTCCTGTCTGCTCCACTTCTGATCCAGCTCCCTGCTAATGCACCTGAGAAAAACAGTGGAAGACGGCCCAGATGTTTGGGCCCCTGCACCCACATGGGAGGCCCAGAAGAAGCTCCTGGCTCCTGGCTTCAGTCTAGCCCAGTCCTGGCCATTGTGGCCATTTGGGGAGTGAACCAGTGGAGGAAGATCTCTCTCTCTTTCTGTGTCTCTGCCTCTAATTCTGTAACTCTGCCTTTCAAACAAATAAAATAAAATCTTTAGGAAAAAGATTTTTCACTTTATGCATTTATCCTCATATGTCCATAATCTTAGACAATTGAATAAAAATGAATATATAAGTGCTTTTGAAGAAAAAACTTAAGTAGAATTTTATTGATGTATATACATACACATACACATAAAAATCACACATCTCTTAGATATCTAATTTTATTTTCTTAGAGTGAACGCATCCCTTTAACCAGCACAAAATATGTGTCTTTTCAGCCCTTTGAAGGCCATCTTTTGCTGCCTCCTAGTTACTCACTCCTGAAGGGTAACAGCTAGCCTGGCTTCTAATACCATAGATTAGGGTTTTTATCAGGTTTTTCTTGAATGGAATCATATGTAATGTACTCATTGTACATATGTATCTCCTGCTCTCCTGTGATTGTGAGAATTTTACATTATAGTAGTTGTCGTTTTCTCATTCCACTCCTATGTGTAAATCCAATGGAGAAATGCAGCTAGGTCCAGCATTAAACAGTGTTCAGAGAAGCACTGTTTAGACCCAACTGGAAACAGTGTCAAATGTAACATACATAGGCCGGCGCTGTGGCTCACTAGGCTAACCCTCCACCTGCGGCACTGGTACTCTGGGTTCTAGTCCCAGTTGGGGCAGCGGTTCTGTCTGGTTGCTCCTCTTCCAGTCCAGCTCTCTGCTGTGGCCCGGGAGTGCAGTGGAGGATGGCCCAAGTGCTTGGGCCCCTGCACCCGCATGGGAGACCAGGAGAAGCACCTGGTTCCTGGCTTAGGATCAGCACAGCGCACTGGCCGTAGCGGCCATTTGTGGGGTAAGCCAACGGAAGGAAGACCTTTCTCTCTGTCTCTCTCTCTCACTGTCTAACTCTACCTTCAAAAAAAAGTAGCATACATAAATATATGGTGATGCAATTTTACAATACAATATCACACATGCTTTTTGAAAAACTGTCGGGTTTTTTTTCCTTTTCAGTTTTTTGCCTAGATCTGTCCTCATCCAACTTTTCATTTCTATTTTAACTATATCAGCTTTCTTCTGCATCCACAGTAACTTTTATGAACAACTTAGTAGTTATATTTTCGTATTTTCTCCTTACATAATCATATACATGCATATACATATACATACATGTACATAGCATTTCTGTAGGGAGTGTTTTCCTGCATCTTTCTTTATTTTGTCGCATGTTAAAAACAGCTGGGGTTGTTTTGCAGTGTGTTAAGCTGCCTCCTGTGACACTGGCATTCCATATCAGATTTGAGTGCTGGCTGCTCTGCTTGGGATTCAGCTTCTTGCTAATGCACCTGGAAAGCAGCAGAAGATGGCCCTAGTGCTTGGGCCCCGGTGCCCATGTGGGAGACCTGGATGGAGTTCCTGACTTCCTGCTTTGGCTTGGCCCAGACCTGGCTTTTGCAGCCATTCGGAAAATGAAACATTCAATGGACCCTCTGTCTCTGTTACTCTGCCTTTCAAATAAAGAGATAAGTAAATCTTCTTTTTAAAAAAGAGCTTCTATATTTTTTAGATAGCATAAGGGTCCTGCAACAAGTTAGTGGGAAAATTGAATTAAAAGATAAGTTGAGGGGTGGGTGTTTGGCCCAGCTCTTAGGCTTCTGGTTAGGACACATGCATCCCCCATCAGAGATCCTGGATTCCAGTCCCAGCTCCGTCTCCTGATTCCAGCTTCCTGTCAGTGCAGACACTGGGTGGGAAAGGTGGTGATGGCTCAAGTGATTGGGCTCCTGCCACCCATATAGGAGACCTGGATTGCATTTCTGTCCTGACTCCTGGCTTCACTCAGTCCAGCCATGGCCACTGCAGGCATTTTGGAAATGAACCAGTAGGTGGGAGCTCTCTTTGTAGATATCTGTCTTTGTTTCTGTCTGCTTTCTGTATTCCTCTCCCTCTCGCAAATAAATAAATAAATAAATAACTTTTAAGAAGATATATATTTTGGTGAAAAATGGAATAAAATGTCTTGGGGTGCAGACAGACACTTGAAAATATGCCATGAAGATTTGGAGCCATCAGTGAGTCGTTCAACCTCAGTAACTTCAAGGTCCCTTTCCACCTGGAATGCTGTGACTACTATTTCTTTCAATTTTTCATTTTCCTTAACAGACGTATTATTATGACCATCATTTTTAATGGAAGATGATTGAAAGTGAAAGCCTAAACCAAGAAGAAATAATTAAAGAGCTGGTGAGTCAAAACCGAATTTTCTTTTCAACAACATTTGCAAGGATATTGAGTGGAATATTTTTATTCTCCTTTATGGAGCTGGGAGGGTAATCTAGTGATTTCTTCTGCCCCGTAACTTTTAGAGTCAGAGAAAAATCATATATCTGGTACAAATTTCTCTCTTGTGGAAGTTCACCATGGCAGCAATGCAATTGATACTTTATTTTATCTATTGACAGAAGTCAGTTTTCATTATTTAAAATGGGTAACCCAATTTCTTTCTTCTAAAACAGTGTTTGTGCAATGGTTTATCTTATGAGGTGGTTGGAAAAGAAGGATCAGATACTTCAAAACTGGAGATGTTTTTCTCAGGGTATCCCCGTATAGTTGGATTATCATTATTTCCTGATTTAACAAGTCTTACAATTGTTGCCCAAGATATAAAAGAAATCTCAGGATTAGAGACTTGTTTTCATCTTAAAGAACTTTGGATTGCTGAGTGCTACATAGAGGTAAGTTTAAACATACAGCCTTACATGGAGTATTTTTTTTCCTGAAAAGTAATTCATTGAAATATATGCATGGGTCAAAATAGGCAAATAGGTAAAAAATAAAAGTTGACTTGTACAAAGGAAAAAATGTACCAAAGGAATCAAAATATACACACAGTCTACTTTTTACTTATCAAATCATAGTTTGGTTAGCAGAAAAACTGCTTCACTTAGATACCACTAGTCATATTTAAGTTATAACATCTATTTTGAAAAGCAATATTGTGGGGCCGGTGCTGTGGCGTAGTGGGTAAAGCTGCCACCTGCAGTGCCGGCATCCCATATGGGCACCAGTTCAAGTCCCAGCTGCTCCACTTTGATCCAGCTCCCTGCTATGGCCTGGGAAAGCAGTAGAAGGTGGCCCAAATGCTTGGGCCCCTGCACCCATGTGGGAGACCTGAAAGAAGCTCCTGGCTCCTGGCTTCAGATCAGTGCAGCTCCGGTCATTGCCGCAAACTGGGGAGTGAACCAGCAGCTGGAAGACCTTTCTGTCTCTCTGTCTCTTTCTCTGTGCCTCTCCTTCTCTCTGTGTGTAACTCTGGCTCTCAAGTAAATAAATAAATCTTTAAAAAAAAAAAAGCAATACTGTAAAATAAATCAAGAGCCACAGAAATATTTATACATTTTGACTCAAAAATCCTATTCTAAGATTTTAGCCTATAGAATTAATTCAACAGTAGAAAACAGCTTATATGTATGTAGCTACTTGTTGCAGTATTATTTTTAATAGCAAACCATTTGAAAATATGTCAAATATGTCACATAGGGTATTGTTAAAGAAAATTATTGTAAACATAAGAAAAGATTTTTAAATTATCAGATACTATAACTATAAAGATGATTAAAACATTTTAGGTTGATCTCAGTAAAAAAAAAATTCACATTGTGATTGCAACCATATAAAAATATGTATAGAGGTAGTTAAAGGAAGCACACAAAATTGAAAATAGTTTTATTTATGTGGCAAGATTACATTTTATTTTATTATCAACATTTTAGCTCAATTTTTTGGATGTTGATTTTGTAGTAAAATATGATAATCAAATGCAAATGTACTTAAATTGACTTAATTAGAAGGATTAAAGGTAAAACATAAACTAACATTATTCAATCTCCTTTTTTTTTTTTTACAGAAAATTGGAGGTCTTCAAAAATGTAGCAAATTGGAAAAGTTGTATTTATATTATAATAAAATTTCCAAAATAGAAAATTTAGAGAAATTAATCAGATTGGAAGTTCTTTGGCTGAACCACAATATAATTAAAAATATTGAAGTAAGATAATTTCAGTGATTTGTGTAGGAAGCAAGTTACTACTATGGCATTTAGGTCATAGTGTCCAGTATGGTTAAGGGCCAAAATATTCTTTACCAGTATAATTATTGTTACAATAACAAGTATTTATTGATGTATAGAGGGCTTCATATACAAATATTTGCTTTACTCTTCACAAACCCAAGAGACACAGTATTGCCATTTCTTCTTTGAAGATGAAATACAAAGTTTAGAGAAGTTATGTAACTTGCATAGCATTTTAAATACACTCTCTGAGGTTTTTTTTTTTCCTTCTCTCTCCTCTCTACTCCTTTCCTTGCTCCCTCCTCCAGTAAATCTCCCTGGGTTCTGGTGTAGAGAAACAAAGACGGCTTGGTTGAGGCACCTCTGTCCCTCTGTGCTTACACAGCACACAACGCCCAGTACTCAGAGCACCTGAGAACTAACCAGATTGATCAGATACGATTTATAAATATGGATTTCAATGATATTTTTTCTCAGTTATTTGTTGTCCAAATTTTTAGGGCTTACAAACTTTGAAGAATTTAAATGATCTTAACCTTGCTGGGAATCTAATAAGCAGAATAGGTATGTAAAGTTTCTTTTGCAATCTGAGATAATGCTACAGTAGTTTCCCATCAGTATAAAAATGCTTATCTTTCTTTTAAACTTTTATATGATGTCTTTCCATAGCATTTCTAAGATTCTGATTATCAGATGTAACAATATTACCCGTTAACACAATCTCCTACTAGTCTTATTTATATGTAAAGAATGACACGATGTGAATAAAAAAGTTAATTTTAATTTATTTTATCTTTTTTTTTAATTGAAGGCAAATGTCTTGACCCCAATGACCACCTGGAAAGATTAAACCTCTCTGGCAATCAAATATGTTATTTCAAGGTATGTTTAAGTGGAATAATTCATTTTTATTTGTTAACCTGCATTTTGATTCATATTATTTAAAAAGTGACTAATAGCCCCTTATAAGGACTAATTTAATTATTTTGGGGTACTTGAGACTCTAGGAAATGGGAAGGTGCACTGACTAAATTGGCTTTAATGATATGACGCTCTTAAAGCCAAACAAATACCTATTTACTTGGCTCATAGGATGCTATTTTCTCTTCACTTCCTTTCAGTCTTCCTGGCTATATCTCCCAGTGTCTGACTTTTTATCCTCTCCTAGCACCTAAGCAATGGACTGCCCCTGGTCAATTCTGTGATCTTTTCTAATTTCTGTCTGCGTTCATTCTCTAAATAACCTTATGATGTCCTTATGACTTTAAATAGCTTCTATCTACTGGTCAAATTGGTAACTCTATTTTCCCTGACAACTCCTTAGAATTATAGACATCTGTTTTAACTCAAACTGATTCCCCCTCACCAAACCTCCTTCCTGCCTTTATCACCTCTCTCAATGGCATTTTCTTTTTCCAGTAATTTAAGCCAGAATCCTTAAAGTCATTTTTAGTACTATTCCTTCAATTTCAAATCCAGTCTGTCAACACATTCTGTTGACTCCACCTTCTTAATATACTAGAGTCTGACTTTTTCTTAGTACCCCAGTCATTTCCAACCTGCTTCAAGACAGTGTCATCTCTCGCTGTAGTGTTGAACCAGAAAATTCTCCCTGCATTTATCCTTTGGCTATTCTCAGTCTGTTGTCTATCCAGCAGCCTGACGGAGCCTTTTAAAAATATTTCATATCATCATTTTTCTGCTCAAAACCCGCCGTTGGCTTCTCATCTTTGAGACTGAAAGCCTTCTCTTATGATGGCCTGAAAAACTGGGTAATCTAGTCTTCCTTCTCCCTAGACACTGTCTCTCTGACCACAGCTTCTGTCACTCTCCTACTGATTTTTTCTATTCCAGATGCACTGGTCTCTTCACTATTCCCTGAATATACCCAGACATTCTCACCTTAGGGTCTTTGCTCTTGCTGGAACATTCTTCCCCCACATGCCAGCATGGCTCGTTCTCTATTTTCTTTCGAATATTTGTTCAAATGTGACATTCCTAGTGACACCTTTCCTGCCAATTTAGGTAAAATGGCAAGAGCCCTTCCCAACCTGCAGCACTCCCTCTCATGCTGTTGCTGTCTGATTTTTTTCTTCTTGGCACATCTTTCACTAGCACACAAGCTCCTTGTGTACAGGAGTTTTGCCCATTTTGTTCACTGCCATATCCACAGTGCTTCAAACAGCGTTAGACATACAGTAAATCCCAGTAAACATTTGTCAAAAACATGAATGGAAAAGAAACAGCCAAAAAAAAGGACTTGATGTTTATTGCATGTAACGTGGATTAAAACATGCGGCATTCTTAATTCTGACAATGTGAGATTGAAGGTGCATATTCAAACACGTCCTTCAGAAAAATATTGAAGAAACATGGAGAAAATTTACCATAGGAAAAATTTTGAATTGACTATTATTAAACTTCTTTTACTAAGAGAAAAATAGAAGACGCCAAGAAGCTGTAGGATAAGATATAACACATACCTGAAAAAGAAATTCATATGAAGTTGTAGTTTATTAATCAAAGTGGAGAGGAAATAGTTGATATAAGCTTTGAAGTGTCAAAGAATTTTATTTATTCTACTTTAAAACTTTTTATTTATTGAGAAACTGGCACAGAGAAAAGACTCCCATCATCCATTGGCTTACTCCCTAATGCCCATAGTGACAGGGGCCAGGAACCAGAAACTCAATCCTGATCTCCTCTGGGTGGCAGGAACCCAGTGTCTTGAGCCAGCTGAAGTCAGAAACCAGAGGAAGGTATCCTAAACCTGGGTACACCAAAATGGGATGCAGGTGTTCCAATCGCTAGGCTGACCGTCCACCCCAACACAATTTTAACAGGCGCGTAGGAGGATCTTCTGTGCACCGGAGCTGGGCATTCTGAGGGAGAGAGAACAATATGAACAGAAGTATGGAAGAAAGAAATCAAGGCGTGTGTTACAGTATCAGGATTGTCATTTGACTGGAGGATGAACTACATGAGAACATTGGAAGTTAAGATTAGAAAGATCAATTGGACTTTGACTATGTACTGTTCTGATAAGAAGTAGTATGATCATAGATGATCCTTGGGGATTATAATCTTGATCTAGTGTTTATTAGCTTGGAACAGCTGGAAGCAGGAAACTCAGTTGAGAGATGACAGGAATAATCTAAATGAGAGCTTATGAGAATCTGAATTAAGGTGTTGACAGCAAAGAAAGAAGAAGAAAGTCATTATGATTGTAGGATTTGGCGGCCAGCAGAATGTGAAGAACGAGAGTAGCAGAATGAATATGTAATTCCAGTTCCTAGAAAAATCAAGAAATATATAAATCAGAAAAAGTCACTACTTTGAGAAGGAAAAGAATATATTTGTTCCTGGATATGTTGAGGTTAGCATGCTAGTGGGCCTATCCAGTGAAGATTTGGTAAACAGTTGGAGCGATTGAATGGATCTGTGTTCTTGGATAAATGCTTATATTTATAAAGAGGACTAATAGAAACTTAAGTCAGTAGAAGATGGATAAAGAGCTCTGAAAGAAGTTGAATCCTAATTCCACTAAAGCAGGGTGGGGAACATCCGGCCTGTGGGCCAGACAAGTCCCACGAACTCATTTGGTCTGGCTCTACAAAGGCAACTTCAGGTGGGACTTGAAACTCAATAAATCTGTAGCAGGCTAATTTTTAAGTTGATAATTTTTGTATGGCCCACAAGTGATATTCTGAATGCCCAAGTGGTCCTTGGTGAATAAAAGATTCCCCACCTCTGCACTGGAGGGTCAGAGAACTTTCAGCCAGATAGTACATAGTCAGATTAGATGGAGAGGTCAGGGACGAGGAGGACTGGAATACCCGCTCTGTTTCGTCACGTAAGCCAATAGGCTAATGCCAGGCCATGTCTCAAGGGTCAGAGTTGTGAGACTTACCTGTTAATCTCTTATGTGGTTGGCAGTATGATGAGCTGAACTGGCAAGCACCTCGACAAGCAAGTCTCCTTCCTGGATCAACCATAGGCTCTTACTGGGCTCTTTACTGAATATTGAGAGACTAGAGGCAGGTGCTTAGTGAACAAGCTAACCTGTTGTAATGCCATGGGTGCTGGCAGAAGAAACAAGTCTCCTGGGTCAGAGATGGAGGATTTTATGTCTCATGCCTTGGAAAGCAACATGAGCATGATGTTTGTTTCAGTTTCCCTAATGCCTGTGTCCTTCGGGGTGAGTGATGGCCCGAATGGGTACCAGGGGTTTGTATCACATCACAACTAAGGAGCACTGAACTTGGGAAATCTACTGCTTGAGAAGCAAGCCTCCTTTCTATAGAGGGGCAGAGGGTAGGGATGTCGCTTGCCCCACAAGGTTGCTCCCTGTAAATACAGGGCTAGGAAATGGGTGAGGTGCAGCCATGCCTTTCATTCTTGGCATACTGAAAAGCGGTGGGAGGGAGGCACTTAGGGTCTTGGCAGACTGACTCCCGACTCTGAGACCATCAGGTAAGGGTTCAGATGAAACACTTGGAAAATAAACTGTGATTGAAACTAGAGACACTGAAAGAGTGGTAGTGGGCAGCCAATGAGATGGAAAGATAGCAGGGTGTGTGTGCATGTGAGCATGTGTGTATATGTGTGTATTTGTCATTCTCCCCCTACATAAGCCAGCTTAAAATACACCAATTCCTCCTGTCTAAACACAAGAAAATTTTAACCTTTGATCTGTGAAACACATCATATAATTTAAAGGCAACAAAACACCTGGAAAACCGTAATTGCAGAGACTATGAGGCTGTTTCAAAAAGTGTGTAGAAAATTGAATTAGAAAAAGTTTATTTTGGTGCAAATTTTTTGAAATCCATGTATATGAGGGATCTACAAAAAGTTCACTCAAAATGTACATTGTGAAAAAACTACAAGTGAATTTCATGTAAAATGGAAAAAATTTTTTACAAAGAATAAACTTGTCTTTTGATCTATTTCCCATGAATTTTAAAAGAATTATTTGTCAATACTGAGAGACAGCAGACACAGAGAAACTCCCATTCACTGGTTTACTTCTCAAACGTACACAGTGGCCAAGGCTGGGCCAGGCGGAAGCCAGTGGCCAAGAGCTCAATATGAACTGGGTGACAAGGACCCAGTTACTTGAACCACTCCTGCTGCCTCGTAGGGTGCATGTTAGCAGGGAGCTAAGGCAGCATTAATCCAGAACTCAAACCCAGGCATTCTGGTAAGGAATGCAATATCCCACCCACTTGGTCAAACGCTACCCCCACCCAGACTTTCTGAAGTACATCATACAGTAGGCTAAGGATTAGTATTCTTACTGTTAAAAGAACTTTTTTAAATCCATTAGAAACAAATAACTTAAGATACCTAGTAAAATAAAGGATACATGGATAGATAATTTGTAGAACTGAACATATGACTAGTAAATTCAATAATTTTCAATCTCAGAATAAAATGCTAATTAAAGCATGATACAACCTTTAACTGATCTTGAATAATCAGTATTTTTTAAAGATTTATTTGGAAGAGTTACAGAGAGAGGTAGACACAGGTGCCCATATAGGATGCCAGTGCTTCAAGCCAGGGCTTTAATCTGCTGCACCATAGCGCCAGCCCCAATAATCAACATTTTTATAAACATAGTACTCTATGCTAGCAAGACTAGGGTGAGGTGGTCATTTAAATGATGTTGGTAGTTGTTTAAATTGGTAGAGCAGGGATTGGCATTGTAGCACAGTGGGGTAAGCCTACACCTGAAATGCCAACATCCCCTGTGGACGCCAGTTCTGCCGAAGCTGCTCCACTTCCTATCCAGCTCCCTGCTAATGGCCTGGGAAAGGCAGCGGAAGATGGCCCAAGTGTTTGGGATCCTGCCATCCCTGGGGGAGACCCAGATAAAGGGTAGCTTGGCCTTGTTTGAGAGGTCAGGACAAGACATCCTTGAAGGGAAGAGGCTTAAGCTAACATACAAGACATGAATTGGGGTTGCACAAAAATAAACTTCTTTGAATTCAGTTTTTCCCATGAAAGTTTGGAAGTACATTGGTGAGTGTTGTGAATACAGACAGAATCCCTGCTTTCAAGCAGTTTATCTCAGGGCTTGGCAAGCTTTTTCTGTAAAAGGTTTTAGGCTCTGTGTACTGCAAATGGCCTCCATCACATATTGTTCTCTTTTTTTTCTCACACATTAAAAATGTGAATACCATTCTTGGTCTGTAGACTGATGCCAAAGCCCATATAAACCCCTGGCTTACAGGCTTTTGGGTGCATAAGCAGTTGTCAGTAGAGGATGATAAATTCCACAGCAGAGGTAAGCCCAGTGGCTATGAGCTTAATGGAGGAGCGTGTGCCTCAGCCTCTGAAGAGGAAACAAGTCTCCCCATTGGGCGCTGACACCATAAAGGTGGAATTAGGATGACATTCAGTGTACTGAAAGGGAGCAGCATGAGGGAAGCCCAAGACAAAACAAGGTCTGGCATGTTTCTGAATTTCAGATAGTTCAGAGTGACTGAACCATAAAATGTTAGTGTCCAGCCAGGAAGAGGCAAGACTGAGGAGTTCAGCAAGGGCCAGGGGAAAAGTCAAGAACAGCATAGACCAGGATAAAAGATGTTACAGGAAAACGCTGTCTGGAAGGGCATTGGTAACTCCTCCCGCTGCATAGGTTGTGGCAAAAATGGGCTTCTCAGGAGAAACCTCCAGTTGACTGCAACAGGTACAAAGGGCATTCATGATTTAAAAAAAAAAAAAAAAAAAGGAAAAGCAGATAAAGACAGTGAAAGTCAGGAATTCCATGATGTTTGTGACATATTCTGGTGGCAAATGTAGGAAATGGGGTGAAGGGAGCAGAGACCTGTGGAGACCTGGGAGAGATCGCCAGCAATCGTGGCTGTGCGGGGTGGCAATATCATCCTAACAAACACGCTCACGTGCTGGCTGCAAGGTACCTGCTGGAACACGTGTTTTGTTTTTACTTTTAAGCAATAATTTATTTTATAATATGTTGCCATTTCTCTAATCACTTGGGTAAGTACATTCATATGTTTTTATTCAATGAATGAATTTTTTCATAGATAAAACTTCAGGAATACAGTGGTTCTTTCCCCCATACCCACCCTTCCCCCTGCAGCTCCCATCCCACCTCCTTCTCTCTTTCCCATCTCCTTCTTCATTGTGGTTCATTTTTAGTTTGACTTTATATACAGAGGACCAACTCCATGATAAGCATAGACTAGTAGTGGTTAAAATGTAGAGTTGTGGAGTCTGCTGTTTCATTATTGTTGATCTCTTCCTCAGAGTTTAGCCCATTTTCCACTAGAGATAGACATTTTAGCCACCTTAATCATTTCAATGTGTTTAAGCATGTAATTAGAATTCATTATATTAGATTATGGGTGATCTGTTCAAATGCCTCCTCTAGAAATAACAGCCGCAATTAATTAATTGAAGATTTCTGGTTTTTTTAGGATCTTACTAACTTAGCCAGGCTGCCTTGCTTAAAGGATTTATGTCTGAATGATCCTCAGTATAAAACCAACCCAGTCTGTCTGCTGTATAATTATTCCACACACGTATTGTTTCACTTGCCTTTCCTTCAGAGACTGGACACCCTTGATGTATCGGCAAAGCAGATCAAGGAACTGGCAGATGTAAGTGCATCCCTCATCAGGCACCTGTGCCTTAAGTTTGCCTAATTCACTTCTTTCTGGCTGTGTTTACAGAGAGGCCTGCTAGGTAGGATTATCAGGTCAGTTTTTGTTACCAATTCTACTTTTGCCCAAGTGGGCTGGATATTGCACATGAAAGTATACAAATAGTACATTACTACTAGAGTATCAATTTTGATGATAGCACTGGAAAGTACAGTGATAGAAAAACATTGCAATCTACAAAACTAAGAGAAGGAAATTTGAAAAATTATCATCAATTTGAAACATAATTGGACTATTCTACCAGGCAGAGTTAGACAGTGAGAGAGAGAGAGAGAGAGAGACAGAGAGAAAGATTTTCCTTCCGTTGGTTCACCCCACAAATGGCTGCTACAGCCGGCGAGCTGCGCCTATCCGAAGCCAGGAGCCAGGTGCTTCCTCCTGGTCTCCCATGCGGGTGCAGGGCCCAAGACCTTGGGCGATCCTCCACTGCCTTCCCAGGCCACAGCAGAGAGCTGGACTGGAAGAGGAGCAACCGGGACAGAACCGGCGCCCCAACTGGGACTAGAACTTAGGGTGCCGGCACCACAGGCAGAGGATTAGCCTAGTGAGCTGCAGGGCCGGCCTATATATACATTTATAATTACAGGTTAAATAAAACAAGACATGTAGCAGGTAGCCACCTATTATTTAGAATATTATGTATCAAAATTACAAAAATCCTTGACTGATGGTAGTAAAGGTTAGATGAATTTTAATCTAATTAAAGCAGGCTTGGGATTCCTGGAAGTGTAAGTGGATCTCTGCATACTCCCATGGTGGCATCTGTGAAGTCTTGAAGACAGTCTGGGTTGCCACAGACAGTGAACCTCCTGGTCACTTTGAAGTGCCACCAATGGGTCTATTATTTTTACAAGGAGTTCGTAAGAATTCTCCCTGCTTATTAATAGTCTTTCTATATTATATTTCTAACCCTGCATTCAGCCCAGTGTCTGTCCCCTTTGCTTTATTTGTTCATCAAATAAATAGTTTTTCAATATCTAGAATGTGCCAAATACGTGGATGCTCCCACACAAAGCCCACTCATCTTTTTCTTGTGGGTCATCCATCATCTCAATGTAGACAGGAAATGTCTTTTTCAAATATCTCTTTTTTTCTTAAAAGATTTTATTTACTTACTTGAAAGGTAGAGATACAGACAAAGGGAGAGACAGAAAGATCTGGTTCACTCCCCCAAATGGCCCCAATTGCCAGAACTGGGCTGATCCAAAGCCAGGAGCCAGGAGCTTCTTCTGGGTCTCCCATGTAGATACAAGGGCCCAAGCACTTGGGCGATCTTCCACTGCTTTTCCATGCCTCAGCAGAGAGCTGGATTGGAAGAGGAGCAACCAGGACATGAACCCGTGCCCCTATGGGATGCCAGCACCACAGGCGGAGGCTTAGCCTTCTATGCCACAGCACTCACCCCTTTTCACATATCTTATTTAGCTTTTCTTGCTAGCCTGAAGATTTATTCTCGAATACCATTCTTTCATTAATTTTCCCAAAAGGCTAAGATTATCTTTTTTTCCATGCTCAATAACTGTCTTGCAATACAGAGCAAAGGGCTAGCATTCTCGTCTGTTAGCACATGTTTGGAGTGATTGGAAGGCCAGGGACTAATGTCTTCTCCAACAATTCCAAATAAAATATAATAGCAGGGTGGGTATTTGGCACAGCAGTGAATTCGCTGCTTGGGTTGCACAGTCCCCATGTTGGAATGCCTCTGTTTAAGTCCCAGCCTTGTTCCCAATTTCAGCTTCCTGCTGGTGGACTCCCTGGGAGGCAGCAGGTAATGGCTTGGTTGACTCCATTCCGCTTCCGTGGGAGGCCTGGGTTGAGTTTGCAGCCCCCAGCTCCCAGCTCCTAGCTCCCAGTGTGTGGGAGGTACTACTCTGTTTTTTATGCCAAAGTATTCTGATGGGATTCTGATGGTTTGCACTAAATACATCATATTGAAAAAGAGCTCACAGCTCTAGAAAATGCGTATCTAAAGCTTTGCAGACCTTCCAAGTGATTTAAGGTAGTGATTTAAGCTGCTGCTTTGGAAGCCTACAGCCCATATCAGACAGGGTACATGAGACTGAGTACCAGCTCTGGTTTGGATTCCAGCTTCCTGCTGTTAAGCACCTTGGGAGGCCACACAGGTAATGACTCAAGTACTTGGGTCCTGACACCTGTGTAGAAGATCTGGATTGTGTTCCAGGCTCCTGGCTTTGGTCTGGCCTAGCCCTAGCTCTTGTGGGATTTGGGGAGTGAACCAGAGGAAGAAGATCTCTCTCCCCCATCCCCTTTCTTTCTCTTCTCTCTGTCCCTTTCCTTTCAAATAAAAAATAAATATGTTATTAAATTTAAAACATTTTTTAAAAGAGAGAAGTGCGTCCATTATTTCATATTCAGTTAAAACTGGGTCACATTTTGATAGCTTACTTGATTTATCTTCTCAGTTCTTTTTGACTAATATAACTCTTAAACACCATTTAGCTGATATATCTCTTAATGATGGATCTAAACCAGTTTATCACAATAAACTTATTAACAACTGGATGGTGATCCATTAGTGTTAAGGAATTCAAGATAATTTAATTAGATTGACAATTGAGTACTTTTGTCAGTCTAAAACCAGTTTGCTTAAAACTAGATTTGAAAAGAAAACACAATCTTATTTCTTAGCAATACTTTAAAAAATTTTTTAAAGATGTATTTATTTATTTGAAAGTCAGACTTACACAGAGAAAGAGAGGCAGAGAGAGAGAGAGAGGTCTTCTATCCACTGGTTCACTCCCCAATTGGCTGCAATGGCCAGAGATGCATCTATCTGAAGTCAGGAGCCAGGAGCTTCTTCTGGGTCTCCCAGGCAGGTGCAGGGGTCCAAGGACTTGGGCCATCTTTCACTGCCTTCCCAGGCCATGGCAGAGAGCTGGATCGGAAGTGGAACAGCCAGGTCTGGAACTGGCACCCATATGGGATAACAGCACTGCAGGCTGTGGCTTTACCCGCTATGCCAGAGCACCGGCCCCAGCAATGCTTTTAAAAAAAGTGAAGAGTAATATGGTATTTGCAATTAATTCTTGTTAATTTCTTTATTTTTCTCTGAGTTAATCAAACAGGAATAATGTGTCACATATTTGCCTTAGTACTATTGCTTAATGAACTAACTGATAATGCTTTATGAAATCTACCTGTAGCCTTTATGTTCTCAGCCTGGAAAAAATGTGACTCTGCCTCACACTTCAGTATTGTCCACAAAAAAACAGTCTTTGGAATTTTCTGGTATAAGTATAGAGCTCTGTGTAGGCATTGTCACTTCACTGCTATCATTTCTAGTACCTGAGCACACAAAACTTTCACACGGTTGTGCACAACATTCACTAATAATTCAGCAATAATTTGTTTAGCTAATTTTCTGTTTTGTTCCTTTCTTTCAGACCACAGCAATGAAAAAAGTAATGTATTATAATATGCGCATAAAAACTATTCAGAGGCGTCTTAATGAAGATCTTGAGAAACTAAATGATAGAAAATGTAAACTACAAAAGTTGCCAGAAGAACGGATAAAGTTATTCAGCTTTGTGGAAAAAAATGTAAGATTAAATAATATAAAGTCTCAGTGATTATGTCTTAAGAAAGTGGCTAGATTGCAAAATCTTTTAAAGTTTAGATAGATAGATATCCCTGTGTGTGTGTGTGTGTATGTGTGTTTGTGTAATTAATACTAAATTTCAAGTCAAGTTTGACCCCACATTTTTTGGTTCTGGGTTGTACTAATCTGTACTCAGTCCCCAGAAATCTGTAACTCAAAAAATGTATAATGTGATTGTGAAATTTTTGAAAAACCATGAATTTCCATGTAATTCAGAGAGCTTGAGATCTTTTCCATTTATTTCAGCTGCATTTTTATTAGACACCAGCAGGCTGTGCTCAAAATTCATTTTTTTGTTTTAAGTGCAAAATATCCCATTACTGATACCATTAAGGTATACAATAAGGTGGAAACTTCAAATCAAGGTATTCATTAGTATTACATTATGTATGACTTTTAATTTAGAATAAATTGGATTTTCTTTTTAAACAGTAGACCCTGAAACATTAAGGATTATTTGTCTTAAGACAGAACCTTGTACAAACAAAATTTAGTGTATTGTTTAAAGTATGAGGAAATAATGAATTATTCAACAAATGATGTTAGAAAAACAGTCAAACTATTAGGGAATAGGAGAGTTGGATCTTTAGTTTATGTTTTACTGAGTAAATATAGTGGGGAGAAAAAAGATTACATGTAAAAGTAAAAACATGAAAAATTTAAGAATAAATATGTAGATGAATATATTTTACCAATCCCAGCCTGCCAAGTAAAAGAAATACTAGCAAGCACAAGGAATGAATGTTGATTTACTGGCCGTCACCATAATAAAATGCTTTTGTACTCAAAAGCATCATTAATAAATGTAAAAACCAATGATTATCTGGAGGAATTTTCAACAAATATGATGGACAACAGGTCAATAGCCTTGGTTTAAAAGCAGTGTTTAAAAGCAGGTGTTTCTCACTCTGCCTATTAAAAAATAAAACTAAGAAAACTTTTATGAAAAATGCCTGTGAATAAAACACAATAAAAATAAATATCCAAATAGAAAGTGAGGAAAATAAGAAACTAGGGTTTTATGGAACAAATGAAGAATGAGAATAAGCATCAGAAAGAAGAGTTCAATCTGATTATTCATTTCCAAATGTTAAAATAAGAAGCTGTTTTCACCTGTAAGACTGTCAAAAGCTAGCACCTGACAGACCTCAGTGTGGTGAAGGTGGGTGTGGCACATTGCACCCCACTGATGGAGCATGACTTCGGTGAGGTGTGAACATCCCAAGAATAGTCCCAGCCTTGAACCCAGTCAATCTACTTCTAGTGCTCTGTTTTATATATGCACGTGTTTGCTTATATTCATCACTGCACTGTTAATAGCAACAAAGTATTGAAAAGTACATAAATGTTTAACAAGAGAAGAATTATCCATTCTTAAGATAGAATAGTATATACCATAAAAAGCAAGGCTTTCAAATATATTGAACGTTTTTAATACATGCAGTATTTTTTCCTGAATGAGCAGGCTTTAATTATTATAATAATAAAGGTAGTTCTAAAGTAAAACATTACCAAACTTTAAATTACTTATTTGAATAAAAATCATAAGAGACCAGTATATGGAAATCATTTTATTTCTGCCATTTTAATGTATAAATGTATGTATTAAGTAAAATCTGCAAGTGTGAAAAATAATAGCAATAGATTATAAAAACTACAGACATTTTATAAATGTTTAATTTGTTTCACAACAGCTGCACTTAACTATTATGGAGAGAGAGTACAGATAATTAATATCTATTTATGTGCTTCTCCTTGTACATTACAGTTTGTCTTGAAATACTCAAGACTGGGATTAAAGTTATGCAGGTCAGCCTCTCACAGTGGGCCCAAAATCTGAAAGAGTGCCCCATATCTTGGTAATTAAGATAAAGAATATTTAATGAAATGTTTTCTAATATCCAAAATAATGCAAAAGTACATTATGAGCAAAAAAAACAAAATCTGAAATAAAGACCATTGTTGTTTTGAGTTTTGTAGGGGACTGAGGCAGAAGAAAAAATGTGTACCCTATATTTATATTTTTATGGGTAATTTTTTCCAAGAACACCAAAGTAGTTGAAAAAAACATTGAAAATGAAAAGTCAGCATGTTAAAAATAACATTTTTTAAAAAAAAAGATTTACTTATTTATTTATTTGAAAGTCAGAGTTACAGAGAGAGGAGAGGCAGAGAGAGAGAGAGAGAGAGGTCTTCCATCCATTGGTTTACTCCACAATTGGCCACAACGGCTGGAGATACACTGATCAGGAGCCAGGAGCTTCTTCCAGGTCTCCCACATGGGTGCATGGGCCCAAGGACCTGGGCCATCTTCTACTGCTTTCCCAGGCCATAGCAGAGAGCTGGATCAGAAGTGGAACAACAGCTGGGACTTGAACCAGCTCCCATAAAGGATGCTGGCACCGTAGGCAGCGGCTTTACCCACTATACCACAGCGCCAGCCCCCCTCCCCATCACACTATTTGAAATTTAAATATTTATTACCAAAACAAGCACTTTTTCTAATTACTGTGGCTTTAATAGAAACAAGCTCATCAATGATATTTCAAAATCTATTTCTTTGCTTTTCTAATTTTCAATTGAGACTTCCATGTTTGAAGTATTTAAGGCCCTCCCTTGTTCAAAAGAAACTGGCTGACTGAACTTGGCCAAAGGTTGAAAATATGATTTTTCTCATACACTTGTGAAGTTTGTTATGTTAATTATCTAGATTTCTTCTTTGTTAACTTACATTTATTATTTATTAGAATTACCATTTGATCCAGCAACTTCACTTCTGTGTATGTAGCCAAGGGAAATGAAGTATGTCAGACATCTGAACCCCCATGTTTATTGGAGCACTGTTGATAATAGTCAAGGAATTGAAATAACCTAAGTGTCCACCAGCTGATGAACAGATAAAGAAAATGTGGTGTATACACAATGGAATGCTATTCTGCTGTAACAAGGATGGGATCTTGTCATTTGCGACATTGTGGATGGAACTGGAGGTCATTATGCCAAGTGAAATAGCCAGGCAGAGATCCAAGTACCACATGATCTCACTCGTATGTGGAGTCTGAGAAAGTTGATCTCATAGAAGTTGAGAGCAGGTTGGTGGCTACCAGAGGCTGGTGAGAGTAGGGTGTCAGGAAGAATTGGAAAAGGAATTCAATGGGTTTATGAAGTTTTAGTTAGATAGGAGTAAGAAGTTGTAGTGTGTTTTGGACAGTAGGATAACTACAGGTAATTGTAATGTGCTATATATATACAATTTAATTTGAGAAGGGGAGAGAGAGAAAGAGAATGAGTGAGTGCACTCCTGTCTCCTGATTCACTCCACAAATACCCAGAGAGCCAAAAAGTCAGACACTGGAAGGCTCTCCATGTCTCCTACATGGGTGACAGGAACCTAAACACCTGAGCCATTACTGCTACCTCTCAGTGTTGCGTCAGCAGGAAGCTGGAGTCAGGAGCCAGAGCTGAGAATTGAATCCACTCACCCCATACTATTATATTTTTAGAAGAAACTTAGAAGAAAGGATTTTGAATGTTTTCACCACAAAGATATGATAAATGTTTGAAGACACAGATATGATTAGCCTTGTGGGACATTACACAATGTATCATGTATCATAACATCACATGGTACCCCATAATATGTACAATTGTTATGTGTAACTTAAAAATGTATTAGGAAAAATAAAATAACTAATTTTTAAATAGCTCTCACTCAAAAATAATATCCGAACTCAAAGTTTGCCTTTATCATGTTTTATTTTGCTTTTGCTTTCTGGTACCTTGTTTTCGACAGTTGGAACGGGAACTAGCCGAACTCAAGGGATCTTCCAAAGTGCACACTGATAGATCCATTAATAATAAGTTAAGTGAGCTTGAGAAATCAAAGAATTGTGAAACTATCACAGAAGAGCCAAGTCTTCAACAGAAGATACTGACCAAACTAAGTGCCTTGAGTGGAAGGGTCACATTCTGGAACAAAAAAATTGATGAGTACGTTTAATGCATTAACTTGTTCAGGTTTGAAACGTGGGAGAGTAAGAATGCTTTGGGAGTGAAAAGAATTACAGCTGAAGAAAACACAAGACACGTTCTTGGTATATACAGGCCTCGTTGATGCAAAGCTAGCCTGCTGGTTTTTTGTAGAGGTGGGGAGAACGATCTTCCTCTGAGGGGCTTTCTGTCACCTCACTGCCTGAGTGCAAGCTGAAAACCAGACAGCTGCTGCTCCTGGTGCAGACTCACCGAGCAGGTGGGACCCTGCCAAGCACCAACATAGTTGTCTGGAATCCTTAATAGCAAGTTCAGGTTCATTATCAACCAAAAATATAAAGACAACAGGAAGGGTTAGCAAAGTCTATGAATTATTTTATTTAGTAAGACACCAAGTCGGTAAGTTAGTTTGCCCTGTAATAGCACTGAAACTAATAATAGTAACAGTTGTTGGGTCTTACTGTATGCCAGTTTATGTACTACTAGCTTTATATGTAGTTTCATATAATCCTCAAAGCAGCCTTTCTAGTAGTGTTAATAGGCCATTTTCTGAGAAAACTGAGGCGGAAAAGCAAAGGTTGAATGATTTAGTAACTGAGAACCGTAAGTGGCAGCACCAGAATGGTCTCCTAACTCACGTATTCTTAGGTGAACAAGATCTGAGGTAAATTTAATTGCCAAAAACCAAGTATCTTACTGTACTTAAATGCTAACAAGCAAGCTTTCTGTATTTTTTCTAAAAGAAACCTTGTATTTTAATATCAGCTTAAAAAACTGCGAATTTTTAATAATGTAACTTTTAGGTGATTCTGATAGCTGTGTATATATTTTTCCTTCAATAGAATTGAAGCAATTTACCGTGTTGAAGTAAAGCAAAAGAAAAAAAGCCACGGCTTATTGATCCCATTTTTGTTAACTGAGTTGGAGACTGTGGGAAATATCCATTTTGAAGAAGGCTCTCGATCTGATGACTGGTAAATTTGAAATTTAGGTATAACTTTAAAAATAATTTTAAGTACTTAGGATCATCAACCAGAATATCCACTTATACCATCTTAAAGTGTCCCATTTTCAAAACATTTCTAATATAAAATATTCATCTATTACACATTAGCAGTTACCTGCTTTACCCTCTGTACATTTTGCTGTTTACAGTATTGTCATGAGCCAATCTTGAAGATGCCCTAGTGATATACCGATTACCCAATTTTCTTAAGCCCAAGAGCAGAATATAATTTAGGGGAAAATAGCTTACGGTTGGGTCTTAATTTTTATGCATGTTTATGCTATTTATTTCTGGACTGGATATAGCCAAAGTCTACATTTTGGTTGAGAAACTGACATAAAGCAGGAACACCAGAGTAGGATTGGTGACAACAGCAGGTCGCTGACCAAGGTGGAGGCGGTTTTGCAAATGCGCTGTGTTCACAGTGGAAACCGTTGTTTAAAACCAGGTAGCCGGCGCCGCAGCTCACTAGGCTAATCCTCCACCTTGCGGCGCCGGCACACCGGGTTCTAGTCCCGGTCGGGGCGCCGGATTCTGTCCCAGTTGCCCCTCTTCCAGGCCAGCTCTCTGCTGTGGCCAGGGAGTGCAGTGGAGGATGGCCCAAGTGCTTGGGCCCTGCACCCCATGAGAGACCAGGAGAAGCACCTGGCTCCTGCCTTCGGATCAGCGCGGTGCGCCGGCCACGGCAGCCACTGGAGGGTGAACCAACGGAAAAGGAAGACCTTTCTCTCTCTCTCTCTCACTGTCCCTCTCTCTCACTGTCCACTCTGCCTGTCAAAAAACAAAACAAAACAAAACCAGGCAGTTAGGGACACTGCCCACTAGAAGAAGGTATATGCTCAAACCGGGGATTCAGGTCAGAAGCCCGTGTAGACAGAAGTGGAATGAGCCACGAGGAGCAGACGCAGAAAGCCAGCATCCTTGCTTGTCAGAACATGGGTGTGGTTGTGTTGCCTCAGACGGCACACTTAGAGGTGAGCCTCGCCAAAACAGAAAGATGGAAGAAAAACACTATCAATGATGACTTTCACATTTCTGCAGTCATTTTCTCAAAACTTAGGAGCCTGTGAGACAGATTGCCTTGGGACCATCATAGGAACGTGGGGACGTGGAGATAGACCAGGGGGCGGGGGAGACCACAGAGTGAACTTGGCACTTTCCCCAGAGTGGGCTTTTGCTTGAAGTCAGACACAAAACAAATCCTGATTTTCATGGACTACAATGAAAAATTTGCATTAATTTTCTAGGAGAAAAAAATATTATTGTTGTGGATACTTAAAACCAAGCCCCCTGCTTTCTATTAGATGAGGCTCTTTCCTCTGTGAGTAAATGCTTCTCAAGGGTCTTGGGGGTCTTTGGGGAACAAGTGTGAGAACCCCTTCCCAAGGGCGAACCTTTTAAAATACTTTCTTTTGTATCTGTGCGTCCATTTGCCCAGCAGCTACCACTGTTTGTTAAGCACAGTGGATTTTTATGTACAGAGATTTGGAAGGTGTTCATCCCAGGTCCCATGCAAACAAGTAAAGGCCCTGGCTTTTCAAGTGAGCAGACTGAGTGGGGCCTCTGTGCAGGGTGCCCGGTTTTCCAGTCTCTCATTTCTGTTCACTGGACCTAACTGGAGTTGTTGTTTATTATTACTGTTTCTTTCTCCCGTATTACAAAGTAAGCTCTTTACAAGCTCGGCAGAGGAGTGAAAAACAAAAGTAAAAGCAAAATGACTGGAAAGCCATTTAGGTGGCTATGGCAGCCGATAGTAAATTAGGTAGCTTTGATGGATTTTAATAAGCTTTAGCAATTGTTTGCTTGGATTTAATAAGAATAACCTTGATCCATTTTAAGGGGAAAATAAAATATATGTTGGCAAAATTTCAAAGACTGTTTTTTACTTTAAGTGTCCTACAGGCTCGGCAACCTCAGCTTTGATTCTTTATGTAAAGAAATCACTGAAGTGCTTTAACTTGCCACGTGCTGCATTTCTGGTTGTTTTATTTAAACACTGACTTCTCTTCTATAAATGTTTTGAAAAGACCAAGGATTTAGCATTTAAACACAAGTACTCAAATAGAGCTAGGACTCAAATGGAAACGTTTTTCTATTAAAACAACCTTTATTTCCTTGGCAAAAAAATTTCAAATTTATGTTATTCAATATTTCTTAGTTTTATGTCTTTTGTGAACTAAAATTAGTGTATTTTCAATTTCTAAAATATTTGTATCTTACAGAGACTTGTTAGTTGACTGAGTCATTGTCACTATAGCCTTATTTTACAGATTTATATTATTATACCTATGTACTGTCAATTGAATTACCCATTGACATCATGCAACACTTATCAGGTGGGGCTTCTGACGCATAAAAGATGCTGGCCTTGTGCTTGACAAGCCAGTTATAGATACAGTGTATTTACAGTGAAAACAGAACAACTTCAAAGTACCACAAAACAATCTACAGGTTACTCTATGGTCCTTGCCTAGAGAGATGATGTTTCATGTTCTTGTAAGTCATTACATCCAGCCCAGGGCCAGAGTCATTGTGTAATAGATAATTACTGATTAAAGTTCTCATGAGAGTTTATAGGTACTTACCAGTGTCACTTTTGTACCTATGTTTTTCAGTGGTCTCTTTATATATAATTTAATCCTATACTGTTCCGAAGAGCTTTAGCAGCAGAGAGTTTTTGTTTTATGCTGATAAAAGATTGGTTTAGGAAGTCTGTTAACAGTATTTCTTATACCGTTTTCTAGGGTTATGGAATGCATTGTTATGGGTTACAGTAAGCTCCAACTATTTAAAAACATGCATTCTGGCTGGCACCGTGGCTCACTAGGCTAATCCTCCGCCTGCGGCGCTGGTACTCTGGGTTCTAGTCCCAGTTGGGGCAGCGGTTCTGTCCGTTGCTCCTCTTCCAGTCCAGCTCTCTGCTGTGGCCTGGGAAGGCAGTGGAGGATGGCCCAAGTGCTTGGGCCCTGCACCCACATGGGAGACCAGGAGAAGCACCTGGCTCCTGGCTTAGGATCGGCGCAGCGTGCCGGCCGTAGCAGCCATTTGGGGGTGAACCAACGGAAGGAAGACCTTTTTCTCTGTCTCTCTCTCACTGTCTAACTCTGCCTGTCAAAAAATAAAAAATAAAAACCATGCATTCTTCTGTTGTTGAATGAATGCATCATTTGTATATTAACAGAAGATTGTAGACATCTTTCTGTGTAACTGAATATCTTAGTCCATGATGTAAATTATATAGGTACCTTAAAAATCACTGATCCTCCCTCCCACTGAAGTAAGAGGATTTGACACTGGCTTTTAACTGGTCCTTCCTTGTAACTCCATCTCTTTGTTTTTTAATACTTAGACACTTTCTATTTCCATTGCCAGTCTCTTCTACTCTTGCTCTTTTACAAATTACTTATTCCTGCAACCTTTTTCCTAGACTGCAGTCCTGAATTCCTGTCTGTTAGACTTTTCTGTCTGGGTTTCCAGCTGGCATGGCCAACTCAACACATTCAAAAGACAATCAACGGTGAAGTCATTGGATCCATAAGGGGATGAGACACAGAAGACCTAGGTTCAAATTCTCTCTGCATAGTTTTGAAACAACCATTGTTGCATATGAACTTCATCTATGAGAAAAGCAATCTGTCACCAAAGATTACTGATAGGATTAGACAACTAATGTGAAAATACTTAGTGTTCAATTTTTATGGTTTTGTGTTTTGTTTTGATATTGACATGGGCATGAGTATTCTTTTTTCCTAAAAAGGAAAAAGATTTATTTGTTTATATGAAAGACTTATATAGAGGGAGAAAGAGAGAGAGAAAGAGAGAGACCTTCCATTCACTAGTTCACTCCCAAATGGCCACACCAACCAGAGCTGGGCCAGGCTGAAGCCAGGAACCAGGAGTTTCATAAGGGTCTCCCACATGGGTAGCAGGGGCCCAGACACTTGGGCAATCTGCTGCTGCTTTCTTAGGCACATTAGCAGGGAGCTGGATCGGAAGTGGAACAGCCTGGACACAAATGGCGCCCATATGGGATGCCAGTGCTTGCAGGCAGCCACTTTACCCACTGCTCCACAATGGCGGCCCCATGGGCATGAACATTCTAATCTTTTTCCAGACCCTCATGTCACACAAAGGCAAGAATTCTAAGTGCAGACATTCATATAGGTGCACAAATAGATGAACAGGATTTATCTAATAATGAGAGGGAAAACACACATTCACGCTTGAGTGTGGGCCAACCCTACTCAAGGAAATACCTGGAATGAGTGGGCCAGAGGAGCCTCTGAAGGGAGAAGAGGTGAGGGAAGGGGAGGAAGAGACTACCTGTGTAGCACCTGCAGCCATGGTCCATGGGTGAGAGAGAGAGAGAGAGAGAGAGATCCTGTTACGTGGTAGGAGGTGGTGCCTCTACACGAGTGTGCAGCCACCTGAGAATTTCATGATACCTCCACAGGTTCTACATGGAGCTTAATAGCCATGTTTTATGACATTCCCCCTTTAAGTTCCAGATGAAGCAAGTGCATCCCAGGAAATTAGGTGTTTTGATTGACAGGTAGAGGGATGGTATGACATTGGGGGCCTACCGAGACTTCCAACTCACACAGACCTATCTAGCTGCCTGCCCATTCATCCTTCATAATCTTCTTCGTCTCCCTCAATATCCACGTCCAAGCAGGTGCCAAGACCCGCAGGCTCTTCTCCATAATGTCATTCCTGTCCATCGTGACCAAAATCACCTGCACAAGCCGGCGCCGTGGCTCAATAGGCTAATCCTCCACCTTGCGGCGCCGGCACACCGGGTTCTAGTCCCGGTCGGGGCGCCGGATTCTGTCCCGGTTGCCCCTCTTCCAGGCCAGCTCTCTGCTATGGCCAGGGAGTGCAGTGGAGGATGGCCCAGGTGCTTGGGCCCTGCACCCCATGGGAGACCAGGAAAAGCACCTGGATCCTGGCTCCTGCCATCGGATCAGCGCGGTGCGCCGGCTGCAGCGGCGGCCATTGGAGGGTGAACCAACGGCAAAGGAAGACCTTTCTCTCTCTGTCTCTCTCTCTCACTGTCCACTCTGCCTGTCAAAAATTAAAAAAAAAAAAAAAGACAAAAAAAAAAAAAAAGACAAAATCACCTGCACACAGGTCTTCCTAACTCCCCCCCTAACAGGGGCTGTTGCTACAATGCCCAGCACAGTGCCTGCATGCAGTAGGTTCTCAGTATTTGTTAATCAGTAAGCAAAGATTTCTGAGTGATCTCTCGTATGATCCCTTCCAGCATGCTTCCCACAGAAAGCTCTCTATTAAATGCAAAACCAAACAAACCTTTATAGCTCTCTGTTTCCATCCAGACTGCATTCAGCCCCTTCACCCACGGTGGAGAATTCAGTGTCTTCTACACAGTCCTAGCTCTTTTCCAGGTCCTTCAGCACCAGCTGAACTGTGTGCCTCATTACTCTTGGGCATACTTGGTCCTCCACCTCCTACGTCGTCTTGTTTGCTCAACTTCCCTTCACCCAGAATGCCACTGCATCCCTCATTCCCACTTCATTATTATGCAGTGGCTGCATTCCTGGGGTGGGGAAAAAAGGTTCTAGAAAAGGGTGGTACTGCAGGGAGTTGCTTGTGAGCCTTCTAGTTCTGGCGTAGCTGCGGGCCAGCCTGGAAGCTCAGCGTTGTCTGTTCACCACCTCCAGCAGTATTCGTGGGAACCCTGGAACCCTACAAAGATGTCCACGTATAACACAAGCCTTATCCAAAATGCTTCCATCTCCAGTTTGTGCCAGAGTACAGGAAGTGTATAATGAGAGTTTTGCTCATTCCAGGACGTTATTTAGGGGAGGCTTGATTCATGTAGGCTCAGTAGAGGAAGGACAGTAGGCTTCCCACGCCAGGCAGGCAAGAATGTGGCTGTTTAGCAAGCCCTCTGAACTGATCAACAGGTTGCTGGATTGTATGCAACTTTGTGCGTCTCTCTCTCCTCTGCTAGACTTGTGGCTCCTCTGGGAAGAGCTGGCTTTCAGAAGCTGACTTCTCAACTCCAAGGGAGGAGTGATTGGTCAGATCCTGGCTCCACTGACTGCTAGCGAGCAAGGCAAGCATGCCACTCAGGGAGAGACTGCCTGTCGCTCCCCGTCTTCGTGGAGGGACGACACAGGACCCTGTGCTGTTCTTTTGTCTGCTCGGCCCTCCCCGGGTTTGCTGCTGGTTCTTCCCGGGTTGGCTACCGACCCTTCCACCTCCGTGGAAGGGCGGTTCCCCCTGCCACTTTCCCCACTTCCGCTGGGGAGCGGCACACTGCCGGCCGGCTCTCTCGGGGGCTGCACAGGTGTTCCTTCAGATAGATGTTCCTGGTGCATGTTGTCTCTCTCCTCCTTTATAGTCCTCTTCCACCAATCCCAACTCTGCTACCCACTCGCCGAGTACGCTGCTCTCCTCCAATCAGGAGCAGGATCAGGTCCTGCTGTTTATTGGTTGAACTGGAGGCAGCTGTGTAGAAGCTGTTTCCTCCTCTCCCAGCGCCATATTGTGGGAGAGCAGATGCATAGAATAAGTCTTAATTCCAGTCTAGTCTTAATTCTTAGTCTAGTCCGAGTTGCTCCCAGTTGCTCCCCGCACTGCCCACCAGGAGGTCGCTTCTGTGACCTTGCCTCACACTGTTGTTCAGGCCCCGGTGGACTGTGTCGGTAAATACCTAGACGTGTCACTACAGGCAGGTGGGTCCCATATAGAATCACAGACTTCCTTCTCAAAGTGACCCACTTTTCAGTGTGCAGCCTGATTCTGTCGTACGTTAAGGACAGGTTGGGATTGTCTGAGTGTGGCCAGGTGAGAGCAGCAGAGAGCAACCAAGCTTTTCCGTGTGGCTTAGTTCCTGAGAGCCTCACTTAGGTTTTCCCCTCGGCCTTCAGTTCTCAGATCGGGTACCTTCTCTGAAAGGTCTTCCCCTAAACCCTGTCTTAAATTGCCCCCTCCTCATTCCTTGTCACAAGCCTCTCTTCAAAGCCCTTATCCGTTTAGAAATTTTGTATAGCTTTACTTGTTGATTTTGTCACACCACTACACACCCCTTTGACCCCCACTACCCCCACCTTGGAATATAGGCTCCCTGAGAACAGAGACACGCCCTCTTCACTGCCATAGCCCCACTGGGCAGTTACTGGAGACGTAATGGTGATATGAGCACGGGTGGTAGTGGTGATGATAAAGCATGGTCGTATTCAGGATGTGTTTTAGACAAAGAGCCAAACAGACGTGCTGAAGTCGTAGATACTGGTGAGGAAGAGAGAAGAGAGTCAATCCTGCAGTTTTAACCCAGGCTACCAGTTGGATGGTGGTGTATATACTGAAATGGAAAACACTCAGGATGAGGAGGTTGGGAGCAAGGGTCAGGTAAGTTCCGTTCGAGAGGTCTATTACTTGTGCAAGTGGACACAGCACACGGGTAGTTAGATATTCAAGTCTGGGTATATCCAACTAAGCTAGGTAGCTATGTATATATATATATATGTGTATATATATATATGTATGTGTATATATATATATAAAACCAAGGAAGCAGAGGAAATCACCTTTGCAGAGCGTTCATGGAAACAAAGACAGAAATCCAACATTTGTAAAACTGTCAGAGAAGAACCAACAAAGACACGTGGGAGGGGCCACCTACACCAGGAAAACCAGGACGATGTAGTCTCACTGAAGTCAGGGAAGTGTTTCAGGATGGGAGGATTGCTCAACCAACATATATTTTAGGCAGAACAAATATGTAATAAACAGCTAACAAAAGAGCTGTTTTTTATTATATGATGGGTCTTCAAAAAGTTTGTGGAAAATGTGTATTGTGAAAAAGCTGGCTGTGGATTTCAAATTTTTTTTTGCCTCAAAATAAACTTTTAATTCCATTCCCCCACAAATTTTGTGAAGTCCCCTTGTATTTAAAAATGTAGCACTTCGTTTATTTATTTAATAAGTATGCCCAATTTGAACAAAAACAGAGCTCCCATATGATTTGGTATCTTTAGCAAAAGTACCCAAAATATGAGTTCTAAATTTGTCACATGTGACTTTGTATCCTTAAACATTTTTAGGAAAATCTGTTCCGTATTCTGTTTTCCCACGTAGGTTTACTTCCTGTTACGAGTTAATTCGGTCACGTTTTTGCTCACGGGACTTCAGAACATATGGTATTACAGGACTGAAAGTGAAACGCGTCATTAAAGTTAACAATCGTATTCTGAGACTAAAATATGAAGAGAAATTTCGGAAGTTTTTGGACAGTGAAGAGATGCATGGTTCAGAGTAAGATGTTGAATTTTCAATGAATGTTTTTATAAAAATTTAACTTTATTTCATGATATGTCCTTCTGTTTAAAAAGTGGACAGTGTTGAAAACGTACCCTGTAAATAAATGTTCCTTTCACGCATGCTCCATAGCTAGGATGATCTCTGAGTTTGTCCACGTGGGGCCTGGCCCGGAGAGGAGAGGGCTGGTGGTGGAGGTGTTCCAAACGGCCATAAGTCAGCCCATGCACACAGCCGCTGTCCCTGGCAGGACAGAAGTTTATTTTCTCTGTTGCTAAGCTTTTGTGAAATAGATTCTCAAGCTGTTTATGTTTCAATTATTCTTAAGGAGCTATCGAAAGATGATGGAATGCCTTTTTTATATGTTTGACCCTGAAGTTACAGTGAAGAAAAAGCGGCTGCTCCAAATACTTGAAAAAGGATTCAGAGAGAGTGAAACAAGCAAGGTAGCATAAAACATCACCTTAGAGTAATGCTATCTTCCTAGTGATGGGGGCTCTGCCACTGGTCTAGTACAACTTCTAATTCTTTGGTCCACGTTTATAGAAAACTTCTGCCTAGTATTATAGAAAGAACAGCATTTTCTCTCTGAATTATACCACATTAAGTCCATTAATTACTTAATCTGCCTGACTTAATCCCTCTGGACATCTTATCTCTATGTTGTGGTCCTGCAGTTGATACAGCAAAGTCTTCTTTAGTTGGCTATAAACCTGTCGTGAATCTTTATGATAAACTCTCCAAGGCCTGCTCCATCTAGGAAAAATCTCTCCATTCAATCACCTTTTGTTGCCACCAGGTCTTTATTCTCTACTTCACTAACCTCAGTTTGCTGCTGGTATTGCTTTCTCACTGGTCCAAAATATCCAACCAACCTTTTTCAGTGTCCACCCCTCCCCCCCACCTTGATGAGACCACAGTGTACTAGCACACAGCCAGGGGGCAGTGTTTCCATATCTTTTTCAGACCTTAGCAAACATAAGCTATTAGTGCAATTAATTCCCAACTTCTCTACTCAACGGCTATGTGACTGCCCCCTCTCTCCGCCTGTCTCCTCCTGTCTATAATATGAAGATAACAGTTGTGTCTTACTTTGAAGAGTTGTTAGGATTTAGTGACATAATGCGTAAAAAAAACTTTCTAGGTGTTTGTGCACTCATTTTCATGGCATCACTCTTCAAACAGCCAAAAGTAGAAATAACGCAAATGCACACTGACATTATGCATACATAAACAAATGTGGCATACACATACAGCGGGCTATTATTCAGCCATGAAAAAGAAATGAAACTGATTCATGCTGAAAGAACCAAACTAGACAGACACAGATAACCAAGTTATTATATGAGATCAATTTGATATTATATGAGATCAATATTATGTGAGATCAAGTTGCGTGGCTGCTATACTGTATAGCAGTATTATATACATATTAGTATATGTAATCTGATAATAGCTAAATTAAGAGGTAGGAGAGTTTGTGGATATATTCACTCATATAAGCAGGGTTTACATATGTATGTATATATCATTATGTGTGAGCATGTATAGGTGTATGGATTTTTTTCTTTGCCTATCAAACATGAATCATTAGTACCTCGTGATAATTATGAGGTTGGGGCCAGTGCCGTGGCTCATTTGGTTAATCCATCTGTGGCGCCAGCACCCCATGTGGGCACCGGGTTCTAGTCCCAGTTGCTCCTCTTCCAGTCTAGCTCTCTGCTGTAGCCTGGGAGAGCAGTGGAGGATGGCCCAAGTACTTGGGCCCCTGCACCCATGTGGGAGACCAGGAGAAGCACCTGGCTCCTGGCTTCGGATCAGCACGGTGCACTGGCAGCAACGGCCATTTGGGAAGTGAACCAACGGAAGGAAGACCTTTCTCTGTCTCTCTCTCTCACTGTCTAACTCTATCTGTCAAATAAAAAAAAATTATGAGGTTGAAGAATCTTTGATTAAAACTCAGCTACAATCAAGTCACCAGGTCAAGGCAATTGACAGCCATGTTGGATCACAGCATCCCCCCCAAATTAAAAAATAACAAATGCATGACCCCACAGTTATTTGTGATTACAGGCTGATTAGTCATTAGTCCATGGAGGTGTCTTATTTAAGGGGAATGTGTGGGCTGTCTTAGTTTTTACGGTCCTGAAGTCAGAGTCAGATGGCAGTTATAGTTTTAGTATAGAAACCCCTAAGGTTCATGGGCTTGGACCTGGAAGAGGAGTACTTCCCAGGTGGCCTGGTGATTTCACAGAGGATGGTAGATTATGAGACCAAATCTGGAAAGTAATAGTCCTGTTGACTGGGACTGATTTGCCTTAATGGTCTATGTTCAATTATTGAAAGTATATCCTGTGTCAAGTTAACCATAGTTTTGTGTGGGTCAGTATTCACGTTGTAGATGATTGAATGTGGATTTAGGTTTAATGTCTTATGTATTGTTATAGAGTGTTTATGGAGCTTATATGCATGGGATATATGTATATTAATGTACCTCTAAACATGTACTATATACTTTTATTCATAAGTTGTACTAATACATCTTAATGAGGACATGCAGTAATGCATGATATACATGGGCTTGACCATATGGATATATTGTTGATACTGACATAATGCTTAAGCGTAAGTATTACAGTTCAAGGAATAGCTTAATTAGAATATCAACTTTGGGTGCTGGTGGTGACACTTTTACTTCTTCTTTGATGCCCTGGGGACAGCAGTTCTCCATTTTTGGTTTACAAGACCAAAGTAACATTATATTCTACAAGGCCCTTCATTTAAGGAGCTTATTTGTGATTGCTTGTCAGTGGTTTTAGGATTAGAATGATCAAGTAACACAGAATGCATGCTCCTTGACTGATGACAAAGAAAGGGTGTTCTACTGGTTGTCCTCCAATTCATGTTAGTGCAAGTAGGTCTGATACAAGAGTTCAAAACAGGATTTGACCAATTGAGTGGAATATTATGTTCCATGATTTTGATAAGTGGAGTAGTGGAATTACAACCAGAATTAGGATAGAGATGATCAGGGCTAGTACTCTGCCTAATTTGTTTGGGATAGTTTGTAAGATCACATATGTGAAAAGAAATTATCATTCTGGTTTGATGTGTGGAGGGGTATGTAGGAGGTTAGCTGAGAGACAAACATTAGAATGAAGGTTGCTGTGACTGGGAGATGGGGGTGGGAATGAGTGGATTGGGAGTTACTGTTTAAAGGGTACAGAGTTTCAGTTTGAGAACCTGAAAAATTTCTAGAGATAGATAGTAGTGATAGTTGGACAACAGGGAATGTACCTAATGTCACCAAATTCTGTGCTCAAAAATGGTTAAAATGGGGAGTGGAAGTTTAGCTTAGCAATTAAGACATACGCATCCCACATCAGAGTCCATGGGTCAAGAGTGACAGAACTCAGCTTCCCACCAAGGCATGCTCTGGAAGGCATCCGTAATGACTCATGTGTTGAGTTCCTGTCATCCATATGGGAGATTTGGGGTGCATTCCTGGGCCTGCCCAGCCCTGGCTGTTGTGGGCATTTGGTGAGTGGGATAATGAATGGGAGCTCTCTCTGTGTCTCTCTTGATCTCTGACTGCCTCTTAAACAAAAATTGGTTAAATGGGTCTTTTTTATCTTATGTGTATTTTACCACACACACACACACACACACCCAGAGGGAGAGGGGGAGAGAGAGAGAGAAAGAGAGAGAGAGAGATACACAGAAACACAGAGACACTGAGACACACACACACACACACACACACACACACAGCATTCCAGCCACTTGGTGGAGAAAAGGTTGGAAGGAGTAGGGGCGACGGGAGGGACACATCATGGGAAGCTCTGCAGACACTCAGGCCAGAGATGTTGGCGGCCCTGGCAGCATGCTGCTGGTGAGAGTGCCTGCCTTGTATTTTCTGGGAGACCAGTAGTAAGGAGGTGAGTAGTTTGGGGCTTTTGAGGCAGTGTTAAGTGCTCACGACATTACAGACAATTATGAACTGTAGATCACGGGCACAAAAGGGAAGGGACAACAAGCCTGTGTATTTTCTACCTAGCAGACTCTGTGCTGGGTGCTTTATTTCCTGCATCTTCTGAAAGAGATAAACGGTCTCCTTTAATCCTCTCAACAGTTCTCTGTGTCCTTCCGTCTGCTGGGTTAGCCATCACCCACGTGTAGCTGTTGAGCACTCAAAGTAGTCCAAATTGAGTGTGCTAGAAATTGACAATAGAGGCCGGCACAGCGGCTCACTAGGCTAATCCTCCACCTGTGGCGCTGGCACCCTGGGTTCTAGTCCCGGTCGGGATGCCGGATTCTGTCCTGGTCGCTCCTCTTCCTGTTCAGCTCTCTGCTGTAGCCAGGGAGTGCAGTGGAGGATGGCCCAGGTGCTTGGGCCCTGCACCCGCATGGGAGACCAGGAGAAGCACCTGGCTCCTGGCTTCAGATCAGTGCGCTGCGCCGGTGGCAGCAGCCATTGGAGGGTGAACCAACAGAAAAGGAAGACCTTTCTTTCTGTCTCTCTCTCTCTCACTGTCCACTCTGCCTGTCCAAAAAAAAAAAAAAGAAGAAGAAATTGACAGTAGAAATCAGTTTGTTTGTTTTAAGATATTTATTTACTTGAAGTAAGGCTATTAGAGAAAGAGTGAGAGAGAGAGAGAGAGAATCTTCTATCCTCTGGTTCATTCCCCAAATGGCCAATATGGCTAAGGCTGGGCTAAGCTGAAGCCAGGAGCCAGGAACTCCATCTGGGTCTCCCACTCTTCCACATGGGTGCAGGAGCCCAAGTACTTGTGCCCTCTTCCACTGCTGTCCTAGGTGTATCAGCAGGATGGTGGATCAGAAGTGGAGCAGCCCTGACTCCACCCAGCACCCATATGAGATGCCAAAGTCACAGGCAGTGGCTCAGCCTGCTGAACCACAATGCCGACCCCATAAAAAAGTTTTTAAAGACTTAAATTGGAAAAATACTATAATCTCTTACATTGATTATATCTGTAAATGACAATATTTTGTGTGTATTAGAGTAAATAAAATGTATTATTAAAATTTACAAAAGAAGTTGTTGGATCAGTGCCTGGGACCTAGAAAGCTGTTGTTTACCAGTAATAATTTACCATTGTTGTCTAAAACGTTTCATGTTATTAATTGCTCTCTGCATGAGGAAACTCTCCTTTGGCATCCATGGAAATTATACTATTACTGTCCTCTAAGTCTTCTGATTGCACTGTCTGTTTCCTTTTGTTCCCTTCTTGCCCTTAAGCATGAGACTAGTACAAGATTAGAGTTTAGAGTTTAAATGTGTGCTCTTTCTCCATATATTATCAGTTGCTCTCATTGTTAAGATCCAGGAACTCAGTCCAAGTCTCCCATGTGGGTGGCATGGATCCAGATACTTACTTGGACTATCATTGCTGCCTCCTGGGTACTTGGTAAATATTTATAGTTTGTGTGTTTGAGAGATGAGGTCGGATTTAAAAGACAGCTGTGTAAATGGCTTAGAAGTTGGGTTTAAGTTGGCACTGTATTTGTAAGGAGGAGGGCTGACTGGAGGCTGGAAAAAGAAACTAAGTTCAACCAACTCCTTCTTACCAAATATTATACCAAATGTTGCAAATAAAGTATGTCCTGTACTTGTGGTTCTCCTAAACATAATGCAATGCACATCTCCCTTTGATGATGTTGTTTCTTACTTTTTCCCTGTGGCAAATTTATTCATAATTTTTTAAAAAGAATTTTTTTAGTTATTTATTTTTATTTCAAGGTACAGTGACACACAGAGAGAGAGACAGGGTGCTTCCATCTGCTGGTTCACTTCCCAGATGTCTACAACAGCTGGAATTAGACCAGGCTGAAGCAGGAGCCCAGAACTCAATCTGGGTGTCCCATTGGTTGGCAGGGACCTAAGTACGTAGGCCATCATCCACTGCCTTTGTAGGCACATTAGCAGGAAGCTGGATGGGAAGCAGTGTACCCAGCATGCTGAACTGGCACTCTGATGTGGGATGCCAGTGTCCCAAGCTGTGACTTAACCCACTGTGCCACAATGCCAGCCCCAAAGGTACCCATTCTTCAAGTCTCAGCTAAAAGGCTTCCTCCTCTGTAACCCTTTCCTGAATTCTCAGATAATAAGAGCCCTCTTACCTGGTCTGCAGGTTAATCAAAAAAGTCAGTTAAAATGGAGAAGTATGAACACATGATTTGGTTGACAAATCCTGAAGTGTAACTTAAAACATGAATTTACATTCATTTGTCACACTTCTCCCTGTAGCCAAAGCCTATGAAATTGGAATGCTTGTATCAGCCACAAGCATGTTTCATATTAGTTTTGATTTCCTTAAAGTTGAGTACTCACTTAGGATTATTCTTGCAGAGCTCTTGATCCCAAGAATCTACTAGTTCGTATGATTTCCCCATGCTACCACTAAGCTTGTGTATTTGTCTCGCCTACACATATTTTGGCAGAAGTTAATGATTAGCGTCTATTGGATTTCTCCCACTTTTCCACTAGTTATCAAAGAAACAACTCCTCTTTCTATTTCATTACCTTGTATAATGTGCATAATTTCAGTGACAACTGCCATATTCAAGTTTGGCAACAAAATGCACTGACTCTTGGTGAGCATAAAGCATGATTGAAGAGAAGTACATCAGTGTTTTAGAAGATACATGCTTAAACTGTCCCTACGCTGTGGGTTGTACTGGTTAATCCTGCAAATTGGTAAAATGTTAGTTGGTTAAGAGGCAATCAGTTAAGAACTTTCATTGTTGCACATTCATTATATTGAAATATAATGTGGGCCGGCGCCGTGGCTCAATAGGCTAATCCTCCACCTTGCAGCGCCGGCACACCGGGTTCTAGTCCCGGTTGGGGCGCCGGATTCTGTCCCGGTTGCCCCTCTTCCAGGCCAGCTCTCTGCTATGGCCAGGGAGTGCAGTGGAGGATGGCCCAGGTGCTTGGGCCCTGCACCCCATGGGAGACCAGGAAAAGCACCTGGCTCCTGGCTCCTGCCAGGATCAGCGCGGTGCGCCGGCTGCAGCGGCGGCCATTGGAGGGTGAACCAACGGCAAAGGAAGACCTTTCTCTCTGTCTCTCTCTCTCACTGTCCACTCTGCCTGTCAAAAAAAAAAAAAAAAAAAAAAGAAATATAATATGTTGTGTGCATTTCTCTTCTAGCCCTTAAGGGCAAGCGGGTTGTTTATATAGATTTCTAGATCAATAGGTGGATAGTTGAGTAGGTGAATGGATGGCAGTCGCCCCTATTTCTGTACTTTCATGTATTTTCCTCCTCATAAAGATAATTTTTGATTATTTAAGTTATATCTAATCTTCAGGCTTATCTACAACTCCATTCCCTCTTCCCAAGCATTCAAACTCTTCCCTAATCAAATCAATTAAGAAGAATTTATTTTTTGACACATTTTGTGGTGCCTTGTTTTTTTATAATTATTGGATATTGTTGGTACCTTCTTTCTTAACTGAGCACCAAGATCATGCTGCAGCCTCACAATACCATGCACATAGATTGTGTGTAATGATTCTTCAGTGATGTTCATTGAAGTCTGAGAATGAACTGAAATGTGGAATTTGTGGGCCTAGGAACCATATTTAAGTATTTGTATTTAAGAACCTCATTGGCTAGAGGTTTCAATAAGAAAAGTTATATAGCTAATTCAGCATTTACCGAAAAGATATAATTCCAAATAATATGCTTACCAATATTTAGCTGGTGATAACTTCAAAACTCTGAGATTGTGACAAGGACAAGGAGACCTGAGTACAAATCCATTCTTTGCCAATTTCTAGTTCTGTTCTTGGACACATCACATACCTTCTCTTAGCTCTTGTTTTCTCACTACTAAAACTAGATTTTTGTTTGCTTCTTAGAGCTGCTTTCAGAGCAAGTAATCTGAATATTACTGGTATAACTCTTTCAAGAGATAAAGCTAGACACAATGCAAACTAAGATTTGCATGTATTAGCATGCAATAAGAAATCTAATCTTTTTTTTCCTGAAAAACAATGTAGATTGTTTAACCAAAAAATGTGATATAAAGAGGAACCTTCACTGATGTACTATCTCATTCCCAGAGGATTTTCTTTTTGGAATTAGCACGGTTACTAGTGGAGTACTCACTGAGAGCCATTGCTCCTGCACCACACAGTGTTGTCACTCTTGAGTTTGACTTCTTTTCCAGGAACATTTTGTTCTGCATCACTCCTTATAAACCCATTGCATACAAAATTAAGATATGAGTATGTAAATGGCTTTGCAGAATGAAGTTGCACCTGGAGATTATCTGCTTCTTTGTCTGGCCTGCAGATTTCTTTGCCCAAACATAAAGTCACAATATAATAAACCCTCTGTGTTGAAGTATTATTTTGTAAAAATACTCAGACCTTTTTTCTTTGCAGCTGCCCCTCAGAAAAGAAGCCGTTATTCTTTCTAACAGCTTGAGTATGTGTGAAGGCCCCAGAATTGATTTTCTAAAGCAAAAGTACCAGGATAAGAAGCAAAACACTCTGGAGAATGAGCTCTTCAGACACGGTAATGTAAATATGCAGTTTTGGAATTTTTAAATTCTAAGCCTCTAAATTCATTAATTATTTGTGTATCATTTTTGATACTCAGTTTTATCTACCCATGAGATTTTCTGCAAACCACTTTATTTCATATTTACCCATGTAGTAATACATGACTTTCTTATCTGTTAATTTACCCACACTGCCAATAAATACTGATAATTATGTCAGCATTCATAGGAAGGCACTCACTAGTTCTACAAGTATATTTTGAATGCTTATGTACGTTCTGCACTAATAAGTGATATATACAGCCTCTGCAAACTAGACAGTTTCTCCTTTGTGGGCTTACAACATGAATAATCATGTAAATAAATATAAAATTGTAAATATCATAAGGACTATAAACATGAAATATTAGTGCATAGTATCAGAGAATGTGTAATAGGAAGAATATATCCAATCAGAGGATAAGGGACATCTATTCTAAGATTTTTTTTTTTTTTTTTGACAGGCAGAGTGGACAGTGAGAGAGAGAGAGACAGAGAGAAAGGTCTTCCTTTTGCCGTTGGTTCACCCTCCAACGGCTGCCGCCGATGCGCTGCGGCCGGCGCACCGCGCTGATCCGATGGCAGGAGCCAGGTGCTTCTCCTGGTCTCCCATGGGGTGCAGGGCCCAAGCACTTGGGCCATCCTCCACTGCACTCCCTGGTCACAGCAGAGAGCTGGCCTGGAAGAGGGGCAACCAGGACAGAATCCGGTGCCCCGACCGGGACTAGAACCCGGTGTGCCGAAGCTGCAAGGCAGAGGATTAGCCTAGTGAGCCACGGCGCCGGCCTATTCTAAGATCTTAAACATCCAACTTACTAGAGAATGGACAGTCAGAAATTTGGTTAATTTTGTAGAAGTGGCATTCTAGGTTCCAGATTAAAGCTCTGCTAAGATAATTCATGCTGAACTAATTATGTGTTCATAATCTTTCATTTAGCTGATGATCAAAAATTAAATATTAACAAATTAAGATTATTGAATCTTAGAAAATCTCCCTACTTGAAAAAAAATATGTTTATTTTTTTTTTACTGTTCTTCATTCCTCTCTTAATAAATGCCTCATACTGTTCTGCTAGATCCTTTTTGAATGTGCCTTTAAAAACAATTAGGTTTTCCCAACTTATATTCTTTATCTTATACACAGTACAAACAAAGGATCATCTGAATGTTTTATGCGTTGTAATTAGAATTACTTTTCCAGATTCATTGACTCTTAGGGATCCTTAGGCTTGAGTGACTCCCAAGAATCCTCAAGAATCTAAAGGGAAAAGAAATGTTCACGTGCTCGGTAGCTTGTGTAGAGTGCCTGCTACAGCCTAAGCTAGGTTGCTGCTTGTGTGCTGCTAATACATTGTGAAGTTTTGCCTAACTATTAAGAACAACAAAAAACCCCTTTTCTTATTTTAAGCTACTTAACGAAAATCATTTTTGCTAAATTGCTCTGTTCTTCTCCCTTCTCTATAAAGTTTTTGAATAAGCACAGGACTTGTCTTTTATAATAATTGAACTTATTCAACAAACACAGAGCTCCTATTTTGGATCAAGCAGTGGGCTATGTGCTACATCGGGGTAAATGACACAGCCTGAATCTTTGCCTTTATAGTCAAGTGTGGGGACAATAAAGGACATTATGTTGGAAATATACTAAAGTGAATAATTATTAACAATGATCTCTGTCTTTTTCATATGTAGGCATCCTCCTCCTTACTAAGGTTTTTCTCGGCCACAGTGTTCAGGCTCCTGAACAAGAATCCATCAGTCAAGCCAACTTTCCAATGGCTAATTCAGTGTTTATTCCTCAGAAACATTTCCTAAGTATGTGTGCCAGAAAGAGAAATGGGCTTTCATCTCTCTGAATGCAGAATGTTTGTATTTGATACAGATGCTTACTGGTTTACTCTCTACATAGCAAAGTTTGAAGACTTTTCTGCAAAGATCTGTTACTGACTAACAATTTTTCCATTTTCTATCTCAATGACAATTATATTTGTGCATAGTTTATTTCTCAAATTTGGTCAAGTATTTATTTGAATATAAACACATACACGTATGAATATATTGATATTCAAAGAATTTTAAAAACCACCATGCCTTTCCCAGCGAAAGTTTTAGAGTTCAGGCTCTTGAATGAATCTTGTAAAAATACATGGTCACATATTGAGTAGAGAAGTGAAAAAGTATGAAAAGGAAACGGGTATGAATAAAATTAAACCCACTAGCCTATAGGAAAGGATGATTAGTGTGTATAGCATTAAAAAGCTATTGGGGAGAAGGATGTAAGAGAAAAACAACCCTCTATCATATAACTGCTGGAACTTACTGAGTTTATTAATCCATATAAGAATGAAAGAAGTATGTTATGTTTCTTTTTGAAAAATATTTGTTTTGTGTGATCTGCTTTTACTCTAGATTCTATCATGGAACCCAGGAGTTGTGATTGTGGCTTTCGGCAGTGCAAGTGGTTTGTCTTTGATCCTGACCTTGTTCTGCCAGAATATGTCGTTGAATTTGAATATCTTACAGTGGTACGAATTGTTATATATTTTATAAATAGGAATTTCTTAAATAAGTAAATAATAGTAATTTGAGGTCTAAAACATTGTGTCATGTTTGTGTGTGTGTGTGCTCCTGTAATGGTTATTCTGTGAAAGATCTGATTCTCAAAACAAGTTATAATGACACCTACATATTTTCATTATGCAGATATATTACAGGAGTAGCATATGACTGTAGTCTCACTGGAAAAGATTCACACTGTATTGAAGACTCTAGAATAAACATGCCAGTCTGCTTTCATTTAATGCCCATTAAACTGCCACTCCCTTCACCAAGGCATCTGCTGTTCAGTTTTCTGGGTTTGCTTTTCATCCTTTTTCTACGTGTTTGCATATATCACAACATATAAATGATTTTAGAGAGTACCATAAAGTTCTAAGTATTCTGTGACCTTTTTTTAGCTATGAATGATGTTTTGGACATACGTGCACTTCAGTGCACGTGGGTGAACACTGTATGTTATTCAGTATTACTCTGCTAAGACTGTTCCCCTGTTGACAAAGTATGAAGGTTCCATACAGTTTTTTTTTGCTATTTGAAATATTTCAATTAATATTTTTCTATCTACATCTTTATACCAATATCAAATTTGTAGGAAGATTGGAAAATCAAGGGATACACACCATTAGCATTGTGTTAGACTTTGACAGACTGTCCCAGGAACTTGACCGTTTCACAGTTTCAGCAGTGTTTACAGTGCTGATTCTGCATCCTAAGGAACACGAGATATCACTAATCTTAGCCCATTCTGGTGGGCCAACAGTAAGATATTTTATTCTTTTATGCGCTTAAAATTGTTTGTAGTTTTATGTGTCACTTATTGTATCTATTTCTGTTAGACTCTTTTTCATATCAAGTAGAAATCTTCTTACCTTCATCCTGAATATTAATTCTTTATCTTATGTTTGTGCATATGCCACAAGTATTTTCTGTATATACTTGCATATATGTCATTGAAAATACTTTTTGTCTTTTTATTTATAACAAAAACTTATTCTCCATTTTATTTTGTAATTTACGAGTTAATTTTTAAGACATTAGTTCTCAGGTTTCTTCTATATGGAATCTGAATATTGTGTCTTGTTTCAAAAGGCTTATAATAAATATTTTCCTTTATTTTCTTCTAGTACTTCTGTGGCTTGTTTTAAACATTTAGCATTTTAAATTCACCTAGAAATATACTGTGTGATGTGGGGCATGATCAAAAAATTTTTTCTTAAAAATGGGCTGGTGCCGCGGCTCACTAGGCTAATCCTCCGCCTAGCGGCGCCGGCACACCGGGTTCTAGTCCCGGTCGGGGCGCCGGATTCTGTCCCGGTTGCCCCTCTTCCAAGCCAGCCCTCTGCTGTGGCCAGGGAGTGCAGTGGAGGATGGCCCAGGTGCTTGGGCCCTGCACCCCATGGGAGACCAGGAAAAGCACCTGGCTCCTGGCTCCTGCCACCGGATCAGCGCGGTGCGCCGGCCGCAGCGCGCTGGCCGCGGCGGCCATTGGAGGGTGAACCAACGGCAAAGGAAGACCTTTCTCTCTGTCTCTCTCTCTCTCACTGTCCACTCTGCCTGTCCAAAAATAAAAAAAAAAAATAATAATAAAAAAAAATGGATAGATACTTGTTCAAGCCATTTTCGGTTCTATTTCAAAATATTATCTTTGTCATTAAAATTATTTTCATACATAAAGAATTTATATATAGATCTCTGTTCTGTTCCACTGATCTTGTCTAATCTTGGAGACCCTGTCCCATTTGTTTGATTATGTTTTGATCTGAAAGAAGGAAAATTCCCTTCCCCAGCCCCTGCCCATCTTTTTAAAAACTTGCTTGGCTATTCTTGAACATTTTCCATTCTAAATAAAATTTGGAATCAGATTGTTAAGTTCTATTCAAAATTTGATTGAAATTGTACTGAATTTTAAAACTTAATTTAGTGTGAACTGAATCCTTTATATTATTGAGCCTCTCACTCAGGAACATGATAATTTATTCCATTTTCTTGGGTCCCTTCTGCTTTTTATTTTTTAAGATTTACTTATTTAGGGGCCGGTGCTGTGATGCAGCGGGTTAAAGCCCTGGCCTGGAGTGCCAGTATCCCATATGGGCGCTGGTTCGTGTCCTGGCTGCTCCACTTCTGATCCAGCTCTCTGCTATGGCCTGGGAAAACAGTAGAAGATGGCCCAATTGGCTAGGAATGGGCCATACTTGGTTTACAATCTCAACCTACTTTCATTAGATTTTCTAATGTGATTCTCTCTTCATCATAGATATCACTATATAGCTGAAAAAAAAGTCAGTTTACCTTTTCTCTAAAGCCTATTTGTTTTTCAAAGTAGCAACCAAATTTTCAATATTTTTAATAAATTTTTTAGCCGGAGCTTCACTGATCCGAAGCCAGGAGCCAGGAATTTTCTTCTACTGCTATCCCAGGCCATAGCAGAGAGCTGGATCAGAAGAGGAGCCGCCGGGACTAGAACTGGCGCCCAATGGGATGCCGGCGCGTCAGGCCAGGGCATTAACCTGCTGTGCCCCAGCGCCGGCCCCATTAACTGTGATTACTTAATCCTACTCTTCTGTCTCGTCTCCATGAGCATCACATTTCTGTGGACCTGGTCTTTGAGTGGTGATCTGCATGTTTTAGCCAGAGGTCACTTTTTTTATGATTTGTGTGTCATGTTGTGTAGTCCTTTGTTGGACACCTCTTTACTGATATAAGATATTTGAAAATTATCCTTTTCCAAGTTTAAGAGTTTTTCATTGGCTAGGAATGGGCCATACTTGGTTTACAATCTCAACCTACTTTCATTAGATTTTCTAATGTGATTCTCTCTTCATCATAGATATCACTATATAGCTGAAAAAAAAGTCAGTTTACCTTTTCTCTAAAGCCTATTTGTTTTTCAAAGTAGCAACCAAATTTTCAATATTTTTAATAAATTTTTTAGGTCAAGCCTCACTCTTTGTTTTCTTCATTCAACAATGTTATTCTAGAAGAAAGCAAAAAGATTTCAGAAGGATCAGTATTGTCCCAGGATTTGAAATTTGATGAGGAAGTTATGAAAATGGAGCCCAGGATCAAACCACGACCAAAGCTCATTAGTTTGGATAGCAAAACAATATTTTCCCTTGCCAAGACTAACATTTATAGTCATATTGTGGTGAGTATTATGACGAATAAAATTTTGGGTCAGGAGTCTTGAATTTAGAATCATCATGTACCACACGAAGATTGTCTGATGATAAATCATACTATCTAATTTAAAAGTACCTACCCCTCTCCTATGTGTGCTAGGTAGTGCCCTCCAGTGGTAAAATTGTGTGAACTGTATTTGTAATTTTAAGTTTTCTAGTGGCTATGTGGGAAAAAAAAAAAAGTCTTTAAAATGTAATATTTATATTTTTTAAAGATTTTTATTTATTCATTTGAGAGGTAGAGTTACAGATAGTGAGAGGGAAAGACAGAGAGAAAGATCTTTCTTCCATTGGTTCACTCCCCAAATGGCCACAACGGCCGGAGCTGCGCCTATCTGAAGCCAGGAGCTTCTTCCGGGTCTCCCATGCAGGTGCAGGGACCCAAGGACTTGGGTCATCTTCCACTGCTTTCCCAGGCCACAGCAGAGAGCTAGATGGGAAGAGGAGCAGCCTGGACTAGAACCAGCACCCATATGGATTGCCGGTGCTGCAGGTGAAGGATTAACCTACTGCACCATGGTGCTGGCCCCTGTAATATTAATTTTTAAGAATATCTTTTAAAAAAAGACTTATTTTATATGAAAGTCAGAATTACGGGGGGTTGGAGGGGGAGTTTACTCCCAAAATGGCCCCAGTGGCCAGAGCTGGGCCAGTCTGAAGTCAGGAGCCAGGAGCTTTTTCTGGGTCTCCCACGTGGGTGCAGGGACCCAAAGACTTGGGGCATCTCCCACTGCTTTCCCAGGTGTATTAGCAGGGAGCTGGATCAGAAGTGGAGCAGTTGGGAATTGAACCAAGGCTCATATGAGATGCCAGCACTGCAGATGGCAGCTTAACCTGCTACGCCACAGCACCGGCCTCTTAAGAATACACTGTATTTCTCCCATTGAATCTAAACTACATCATACTAGCATGCAGTCAATATGAAGATTCATTAAGGAGATGGTTTCATAGTAAGTCTTTGAACTGAATGTATTCTGTACCCAGGGCTCATCCCAGTTCAGTTTAGCCACATTTCAGGCACTCAGTAGGCACTTGTGATGATTTCCCACTTAGCAAGTTATTTTATTCCTGAATACACAATGTTATCTTAAATGATCTGTATGAAGACTCATAACTTAAAAATCAGTGTCCAGAATTAATCAACAAAACATATGGAAGCTCTGTCTTTACAGAATCAGTGAACAGAATTTGAGTTTCTTACTAAAGCAACGTACTTTACCCGGAGACAATTTTATTGAGATATTAAGCCTACCTCCACATCTGACTTCCAGTTGTATACATTTTAAACTGCTGTTACCACTGTGTCCAAACTACCCTCATCTCTGACTTCTACTACTACCATAGCCCTCTTACTTAGCTTCCTGCACTCTGCTGTTGCAATATTGCACAACTCCAGGAGGCAGGCCACCATTCACATTTGTTAATGTCCCCTTTGGATACCATTCGCTGTGTACCTAAACCCAGTGCAAGGTGGAGGGGTGGGCCGTGCTGCCTAGAGTTAACAGAGGCCCTGACCGGTTTCTACTTTGAGCCCATAATTCATTCTCCATGTTGAAGTTAGAGTAATCTTTTCAAGATGCAAACCTGACCATATCACCTCACCTACCCTTCATCACTATTTTTTTTTTATTTGACAGGCAGAGTTAGAGAGAGAGAGAGACAGAGAGAAAGTGCTGTGGCCAGCGTTCTGTGCCGATCCAAAGCCAGGAGCCAGGTGCTTCCTCCTGGTCTCCCATGCGGGTGCAGGGCCTAAGGACTTGGGCCATCCTCCACTGCACTCCCAGGCCACAGCAGAGAGCTGGACTGGAAGAGGGGCAACCGGGACAGAATCTGGCGCCCCAAATGGGACTAGAACCCGGGGTGCCGGCGCCACAGGTGGAGGATTAGCCTAGTGAGCCGCGGTGCCGGCCACCTACCCTTCACCATTTTTACATAAAATCCACTCGTTAAAATAAAACCAAAAATTTCCATGCAGTTTCTGAGATTTACAGATTCTGTAGGTCCTTGGCTCACCTTCCCAGATCCCTTTCACCTGGCCCTTTCTTTTGCCCTCTGGGCTCAGCCTCTTCTGCTTCTTAAATGTGTCATCTGCACCTGCTGGTCCTTCATAAGATGGCCCCTCCTGACCGCTTCCTCCTAGCTAACTCCTGCACGTCTGTTAGATCCATGCCTCAGCATGGAAGCCTTCTCTCGCCCCTGAGCCTAGGTCAGATTCCTTTGTCATATGCTCTGTGTCTTTCCTAGGCCGTAGAATTGGTAGCAGAAGAGACTCTGGCTGCTCCTGTTACCTTCAGGACCAGGGTAAAAACATAAGGCTGTGTAGTGTGCAGTGCACAAGAGGGCCATATGGGACTCACAGATTGGAGTGCTTGAGTTTGAGTCCTGGCTCCACTTCTGTTTCCAACTCCCTGGTGATATGCACGCTGGGAAACAGCAGGTAATAGCTCAAGTAGTTGAATCCCTGGCAGCCACACAGGAGACCTGAACTGAACTCCAGGATCTTGGCTTTGGCCTTGCCCAGCCCTTGCTGCTGTGGGCATTTGGGGAGTGAACCGGCAGATGGGAGATCTCTATCTGTCCATGTCTCTCAAATAGTAATAAATAAATATTTTAAAGTATTAGAGTACAATTTTCTTTTTTTTTTTAATAGTTTATTTGAAAGGCAGGGAGAGAAGCAGAGGCAGAGAAGTCTTCCATCCACTGGCTCACACCCAAAGTGGCCACAACGGCTGGCGCTGGGCCAGCATGAAGCCAAGAGCTTCTTCTGGGTTTTCCATGTGGGTGCAGGGGCCCAAGTACTTGGGCTGACCTCCACTGCTTTCCCAGGAGCGTTAGCAGGGAGCTGGGTAGGCCACGACACCGGCCCCTAGAGTACAATTTTCTGACAACTGTTAGAAAAATGTAGTAAAATCAGTAAAGTACAGTTTTCTGAAAGATGATAAAAGTATCTTTTAAAAAGGATGCCTTGCTGTGGCATAGTAGGTTAAGCCTCTGCCTGCAGCACTGGCATCCCATATGGGTACTGAGTGCTCCTATAAGTCCAGGCTGCTCCTCTGCTTATCTAGCTCTCTGCTATGACCTGGGAAAGCAGCAGAGGATGGTCCAAGTCCTTGGGCCCCTGTACCCATTTAGGAGACCCGTAAGAAGCTCCACTTATACCTAGCACAGTATGTGGCACACATTAGATACAACTCAGCTATTTGTTTTAAAAATGACAAAGAAACAAAAAAGACTATTGATTGGGTCTTGCAGAGAAATTGAGTCGTTTGCTTGAACAGCTGGAATTAAGTAGTAAACAAATTGATATACCTGGGAAGACAAATTATTCAGACATGACACTTTCTATGCGTACGCTTAAAGATGATATATAAAAATTCAGAAATGATTTTTTACCTTGAAACTCCATCACCATGTTTAATAATTTCTCAGTGACAGCGTGAAACAGAAAGAGAATGAAAAAAATATCTTTGATGTATCATAATATATATCAATATATGATATGCTATATAATATATATTTATAATAATATATAACAATATAACATACATTATATGATATTTACTATATAATATATGACAATATAGATTTATCATGTATTATATAGTATGTATAATGTAGAATATTTACATATGTTATGACATATGTAATATATGCATTGTATAATATATATTTATTATATAGCATATGCAATATATTATGTGATGTATACTCTAGTATGTATAATATATTGTATATTATATATGTTATATAATACATAATACATATTATTGTGTATAATATATTATCTTTACAAATATATGTCATATATTTATTGAGTAATAATTATTAGATAATAACACTTTAGTAATGTAATGTTTTTGAAAGTGAATATGTTTTGTTTGGCTTAGCTTCTACAATATGTATTACTCAAGTTTTAAAGGGACTAAATAAAAGTTAAAAAATAAAAGAAGCAGGAAATAGGTCTCTTGATTACCCTTGGTTTGTAAAATTAAAACAGAGAGTAGGAAAAGAAGACATCAAAATACCTTGACCTGTTTGCGACCCCTACCTGACTTTGCATTAATTTTATCAACTCTCATAACAAATAAATAAAGAAATTTTTCATTTTGATTTTGCCTATGCTACTTAAAAGCCAGTGAAATTTCTAGGCCTTCTGTCAAGAATACTAGATACTACAACAAGAATGTTTAGATACTCCTTTTGGACTATTAGTATCAGAGAAGTTCTAGGTATATTCCTATTTTTTTAAAGATTTTATTTATTTTATTTGAGAGAGAGAGTTACAGACAATGAAAGGGAGAGAGAGAGAGAGATTTTCCTTCCGTTGGTCCACTCCCCAGTTGGCCATAATGGTCAGAGCTGGCCCAATCTGAAGCCAGGAGCTGGGAACTTCTTCCAATCTCCCACAAGGGTGCAGGGGCCCAAGAACGTTGGCCATCCTCTACTGCCTTCCCAGGCCATAGCAGAGAGCTGGATCGGAAGTGGAGCAGCCGGGAGTAGAACTGGCGCCCATATGGGATGCCAGCACCGCAGGCAGAGGATTAACCTGCTGCTCTATGGTGCCGGCCCCAAGGTATATTCCTGTATTTTCTTTTCAGTATTTCCCATTAAATTGAGTTTTGTGAGGCTATCTATACCAATAAATAAAACATTTAGAGACAAAATAGAAAACGCTCCAAATTAACATATAATTTTATTGTATTTTATAGCATAATTAAATACTAAAATTCAGAGTTGTCAGTTATAATTCTGTATTTTACATCGATTTATTCACCTAGAATTTACTGAGAATTTGCTATGTCTTAGGCAATGAGGTATGTATTAGGAGTTCAAAATGAGCTGATTACTTTCTCTGCCTTAACAACATCAATTTAGAGGAAGAGATAGATATATAATGTGTAGGATGCCAGGAGTTGCTAAAAGAGCTTCTCACCTAGAGGGGAAGTTTAGTTGTTAAAATTTCCACACAGAGAAAATCCACTCTGTATAGGCACTTGGTTTTTGAAGAATTCTGGTATCTTCAGGGAACACTGAAAAAAAATCTATATAACCAGGAGACAGGGTTAGGACAGTGAAAAGCAGAGGTGTAGTTTGGAATTCAAGGAAGATACCTGAAGTGAGGATGGAAGAGTGGGAGACTGTTGGTTGGATTTTAGAAACTAAATCGGCAAGTTCAGATTCCTCTCCTTAACTAAGGAACAGACTGTTTTTAAAAACCCTATAACTCTGGCACCTTCACTTGAAATGAGGCTGCTGGCACGGAAATCCAGTGGAAAACCATTGCAGCAGTTCAAGGGAGAAACGGTCATGTGTAGAGGGACATTGGTGGTGGGGACAAAATGGAGCAGCTGGCTTGACCACATGTGCATGGGAAAGAGGGAGGGGGGTGATCAGCAGCATATTAGACAGTGAGACTCTTCATCAGGGTTGAAAATACAGGCTTCCGGGCAGAAATACCGGGAACGTGTTGAGTGTGAGGTGTCTGTGAGCTCTATCATGGGTGATATCCACTTGTGACTTGCAAAATAGCTTGTCTGCATAAATTGATACTTTTAAGCAATTTTTAGCCAATTTTGACAGCTATTAGAACCTGAATTGTCTCTCCCTTCCAGGATTTAGTTATGTCCACAATATTAAGTAAAAGATGTTGGTGGTGAATAAGATGGCTGGGAGATAGACACTGTGATTTTATCATAGTAATACCCATTGTCAACGTAGTGGTGCATTGCCATTTTGTAGGCTGTACACAAATGCAGTCTTCACTTAATACCACTTATAGCAGTGTAAAGACAGAATAATTATGTGTGCATCAGGATTGTCCCTAAATATAAAAATATGAAAGCACTATATATTTTTATATAGCCTGGGATGAAATGGACAGGGAATTTCTAAGCTGAATTTTGATATAGGCATTTCCTTAACTCTCCCACCTCTTCTACCACATTCTTTCCTACTCCTGCACCCTAAGCCTTTCTTTCTTGGTCCAGTGCCTTCAGCGGTTTCTTGTAATCAAGATGTATTCTTGCCATCTGTCTCCAACAGGGTGCACTATCTGATTCCTAAGATATTTAGGGCCTACTGTATTCACTGGCTAGCCTGAGAAACAGGTCTGTTCTAATGTCTAACTACACACACCTAACCATTTTCTGAGAATAATTTCATGCCAATTCTGGATAAACTTAAACCAAGTGAGAAATCGGATTAATCAAGGACCAGGTCCAGTGATGCTATTATAAACTGTGTTTACCTTTTAACATCACACATTAGATTACTTTCTTTTTGGCATTCTGAATGTAATTTAAAGTAACTACTTTCTTATTTTGTATTATATTGGCTCAAATAATTATCCTAAGCATTTTAGATATACACATTTCAGTACGGTGTAGAATGTAATCCATCTTATCTTTAATTTATATTTTGTTTTACTGCAGAATCTGAATCTACATGGAAACAGCTTGACTAAATTGAGAGATCTCGCCAAGTTAACAGGACTCCGAAGACTGAATATCAGCTTTAATGAATTTACTTGTTTAGATGACATATACCACTTGGTAAGAGTGTTTGAAATCTTAAAAAAGTCAAACTCTTAGAAGCAAAGAGAAGAATGGTGGTTGCCAAGGCCAGGGGATGGGGAAATGGATGTGTTGACCAAACTGTACAGACTTTCAGTTATGAGATCAGCAGACGTGCAGTGTGGGTCGTGATGGGTGTCTTAAACAATTTGATTGTGGTAATCAGTACAATTTATAAGAATAAGAGTGTATCAGATCATCACAACATGTATCTTGAATGTATTCAATTTGTCACTTTAATATGTCTTAAAAATATTTGATACAGCAAAAAAAAAAAAAAAGAAAAACTGATAAAGTCAAAGAACAAATGATAAAATGGAATAATAGTTTAAAAAATAGCTGTCCTGAGGCTGGCACTGTTGCATAGCTGATAAAGCCACCTCCTGCAGTGCCAGCATCCCATATGGGCGCCGGTTTGAGTCCCGGCTGCTCCACTTCCAATCCAGCTCTCTGCTATGGCCTGGGAAAACAGTAGAAGATGGCCCAAGTCCTTGGGCCCCTGCACCTGCTTGGGAGCCCTGGGCAGAACTCCTGGCTCCTAGCTTCAGATTGGCCCAACTCCAGCCATTGGGGCCATTTGAGGAGTGAACCAGTAGATGGAAGACCTCGCTCTCTCTCTGCCCCTGTAACTCTGCCTTTCTAATAAATAAATCATTTTTTAAAATCATAAAAAAAAACCCTGTCTGCCTGAAAGAATCCCAGATCAGGAGTAAAACATGCATACCATGTAATGCTACAACAGGTCTTACATTCAGATTTCACTTACAGACCAAATAACACCTGTAATTGTATCTATTTCCAGCTACTCTAAAATAATTCTCAGACTTTTTAAAAAAAGATTTATTTCTTATTTGAAAGTGTCACAGAGAGGGAGAGACAGAGCGATCTCTTCCATCCTCTGGTTCACTCCCAGGGTGGCTGCAACAGACAGGGCTGGGCCAGGCTGAAGCCAGGAGCTAGGAGCTTCTTTGGGGTTTCCCATGTGGGTGCTAGGGCCTAAGCACTTGAGCCATCTCCCGCTGCTTTGCAAGGTGCTGGGAGCCAGGGAGCTGGCTTGGAAAAGGAGTAGCTGGGACTCAAACCTGTGCCTATATGGATTGCCAGCATCGCAGGTGGCAGCATTACCTGCTATGCCACGACACTGGCCCCCACATTGTCTTTATCCCGTCATCAGTTGATGGGCATCTGGGTTGATTCCATATCTTAGCTATTGTGAATTGAGCTGCAATAAATACAAATCTCTCTCTCATATGCTGATTCCATTTTCTCTGGGTAAGTTCCCAGGAGTGAGATGGCTGGGTCATATAGTAGATCTATTTTCAGATTTCTGAGACTCTCCAAACTGTTTTCCGTAATGGTTGTACTAGTTTACATTCCCACCAATGCTATGTTAGGGTACCTTTTTCCCTACATCCATACCAGCACGTATTTTTTTTTTTTTAATTTTTGGATGAAAGCCATTCTAACTGAGGTTAGGTGAAGCTTCATTGTGGTTTTTGTTTATGTCTCCTTGATGGCTAGTGATCCTGAGCGTATGTCTGCTGGCTATTTGTGTTTCATCCTTTGAAAATGCTGGTTCATATCCTTAGTCCATTTCTTGTTTGTTTTGTTGTTGTTGAGTTTCTCAAGCTCTTTATAGATCCTGGACATTAACCCTGTATCAGATGCAAAGTTTGTAGATGTTTTCTCCCATTCTGTCTGTTCTTCACTTTGCTGAGTGTTTCCTACCAATTTCGTTTTTTTTTTGTTTATCTTTATTAATGAATATAAATTTCCAAAGTACGACTCA